TTAATGATAAAGATGAAATAAAACAATTTTGAACAAAGTATGTTATAAATGAATTCATGATTGCCAAATTGATCTTTCATTAAATTACTTTTTGTTACAAAAGCCATTTGAATAATTTTATATTCTTAAAATTATTGCATTATTTTACATAGGTGTTCCAATTCATTCAAAATTGTTCTATATGTGTGTGTGTGTATATACATATAAATATATAAATATATATATATATATATATATATATACTTTTTTCAACATGGAGAATTGATTATTGTCTTTTAGGTTGTTTTAAGTTTTTTTTAATTTTTTTAGAAACTTGCCACATTAAATTTCAAAATTTTAAAACCATCAAGTTTTAAACTCTAAACTTTTTCTTGTCTTTTTAATTACAAAATTAACAAAGAAAAATTTAAGGAAAAAAAAGAAAAAAAATGAAAGATTTTTTTTTTTTTTTTTTTTTTTTTTTTGTTATAAACCATAGCAACAACACTTTTATCTTGGTCCTTGCCATATATAACTTCTGTATGTCAATATTTTACAACAATAAAGTTATTGTTGTCAAAATCCTTCTACAATTTTTGACCTTTGTGAGAATTGCATGGACTACAAAAATTATTATGGAGTCTTTATTTTAGTTATGATACAAAGACAACAACCCAAACAACAAAACAATTATATGATTAGCAAGGTTTAATGGTATCAAGAATTATGTGTAATTGAGATTTTGTTGTTGATACCCTTCAACCTTGTATTTTTAATAAAAAATTGTATTCTACTTATATAGAGCATTGAAAGATGAGACATAAAGTTTGTAAATCTTTGACACATGAAGTAATGTAGCTCCACATAGTATAAATAATCACAAACTTGTGATGGTTGGAGATTAATATAATATTTTTAATATTAATATTTTTCTTTTGACATTGATGTTGATATTATTCCTACATTTTTAATAAATTTTTATTTCTTAGATACAAATTTTGTGGTTCACTTATGTCACATAATAATATAAATTGGTCCTAATACATCTTTTTTAATTAGATTTTTAGTTGAATTATTGAGTAATACTTTCTTCTCCTTCATATCAAGTAGGATTTGGAGTATTAATGCTTTTTATTGATGTAGAATCAGTTCTATAATAAAATTTAGAATTGACAAGATGATGATTAGAATTGTATTATAACTTTATCAATTTGGTGGATTTAGAAAGTTATTTGTACTTTCATGTTTCTTGATTGATTCTTTGCAATAAACATTGAGATTCAAATTCAAAAGAAACATTGATATTTTACCATGTTTACATGTATGTATATATATTACATAGTTCTCTTGATCCATAGATCCCTTGGAAATTGAATGCAATAAATTGTTTGCCAAACATTAACAAAAACATTTTATGCATAAAATTTTATTGAAATAGTTTTTGAAAGTATAATTTTGCTACAAAAAAAATATTTTTATTATTGGATTTTAATATGTATAGTGTTTAGATAAAAAAAAAATCTATTGCAACTTATTGCATACATTTTTAAAGACACAAGTTCAAAGCTTCTGCTATGTTTAAGGAAATTAAGAAATTTTTAAGATGCCTTGTAATTTGCTTTCATGTGAGCATGACCATTAGAGTCTTTTTTGAATAGTTTCTTTTTCATTTTCTTTATTACCCTTCTATTTCTAGTTCTTGTGAGGATTTTAATATTTTCTTTAAAGATATCTTTGAATGGATTGCAATTCTGCTATAAAAGGTATCATCCAATGCATTAATTTTTAGCAGGTCACAAGGTACTTAATGCAAGAGAGTAATAATTATATGATTGTCAAAATTATAGAAAATTAAAGTTCGTCCTTAATGCAAGCTAAGATAGAAATTTATATTCTCTATAGGATAAAATACCACACATACTATGAACCATAGTAAATAATTCTAATAATAACAAAATTAAATGAAAAGAAAATATTCCTAATTTTTAAAACTTTGGTAATAAGCTATATTTTATTTTCTACTTTATGAGTTTAGTTGTTATAAATGTAGAATTTACTTGTTTCCACAGCAGTAGCAACATTTTTTGTATCATAAGGACACGAAGGTAAATTGATAACAAATTTTGTTGTGTTTGAAAGAGCTCATTGTTGTTGTCTGTTTGTCTATTATATTACTTATTATTTCATTTTCTTTTATGTGTATATAACTTGTATATCATGTTTGTATGCTGATGAGTTTAACCTTGCTTGTGGTTTTGTTAACACTGTAAATGTTTCCTATGATGGCTTAAAAAAACATCGTATTTATTACAAAGTAGTTTTTTTATTAGAAAAATGTTAAATGATTAAACAATGAACGTGAATAAATAAACAACAAATAAGTTGCAAGAAGCTTTGATCATTTCAACTATCAACGGCACATCTTTAATGCTTCTGGATTTATCATAAGTAACTTTTTAGTAATTATAAATGTATTTAACTGCTTATTTGTGTTATTATTTTTAAATGATGTTGGGGTGTTTGTTATTTGAGTTAGTTTCCTTGCAAGATTATTAGTGGTAATTGGAATTTATACATGGTTTGTTTGTTCACACATTAGATATCTTATTAATAATAGTGAAAAACTGTCTATAATAAGTATTGGAAAGTGCACCCTATTCTTATACTATTAGGGAAGATAATAGAAAAAATCATATGCAGGATTTATTTATTTGATTATTTATTTTCAACTAACCATTAAAAGCCTCATATGATTTTTTTTAAATACGAATTTAGGCATCATTTACTTATAAAATACAACAGTTGTTTTAAGGACGTTTCATCAATTAAGCTAAATTCTTTTTCAGAAGAATCTATCCAAAGCAATCAGGAAGTTGGAAAAAAGAAAAAGAAAACGAGAAATCATAATAACAATAATAATAAAATATGTTTTAATAAAAAATAAAAGACATCGTTGTTTTCAGTTAAAGATAATAAATCTAATAATATTCTTCTATTAAATCCCTTTCTTCTTTTTCTTGTTGAAAAGATATATATATATATATATATATATATACACACACACACACATATACCCACACATACAGAGAAATGCAGTGCAGAAAAATGGTGGAGTCAGCTACCCTCCAGCTACCATAAGCAGCTAACTTTATGCAACAAGGCTACGATCAGACACTAAAAATCTCCACTGGGTTTCATACATCATCACTTGAATGCCGGCTACCGATTCTTCCTTTCGACGGCATCACCAACTTCAAGCCACATGCGAGTTTCATGAGGGGAAAAAAACCCAGTGTCGTCTTCCGATAAGAGCAATAAGTCCGCCACGTGGGTGTTGGACACAGCTCCTGCACAACTGTCTCAAATCGTTTTAGTGCAACGACACTTGAAAAGCCAAGTGAGGTCAGTGGCCCATAGCACGTTTTGGCAAAAAAGTGGAGTTGTGCTGCTTAGGAGCTGAACAAGCATGACGCACATCATCACTAGAGAACACTTCCGGCGTCAGCTTTTGTCCCGTGGTGCTTCGATTCGCGTTGCACGCAGAGAAATGTGCCAAACTGGATTCCCTTTCGATCCTAGGAGCGGATCACACAAGTCTACTAAAAGCTAGCTCTGGTCTTGTCATTGCCAAATCCTCCAGTGTAGGATCGGAGAAATTAACTTAATGTCCGCGTGACTGGAATCAGGATTAGTACTCTTTCCTAGTCCATTGACGAAGCGTAAGCATGTCGAAAAAAGTGTGGTTGGTTGTGTAGAGCCAAAAGCCAACAATCAGCTAGAAGCAAAAAATTTCTCCGACACTTTCCAGATCCTTGTCATAGAGGAACAACAAGGAGAGGCAAAAAGCTGTCTCTTATTCATTGTAGGTGAATCACAAGGTTCACTAGCTGATGAGAGCCACCACACAGAAAGTGTAGCGCCTAATGCTAATCGGGTTTGACAATGACAGATTCTCATAGCTCCTGCTCCTCAATTTCTGGGTCACCTCTACTTTTCCCTGTTGCGCATGTGTTGGAAGAAAACACACAGCTAACTAGTTCTATCCTACCCACAGCCATTCTGATCCGTTTGGAATATCCCCATGCTCGTGCGCCGACCATTCTGAACTGGTCATTTACACGTGCTTAGTTGCACAATGCTTTGTAGAAATGAGCAACAATATACTCAGTGCTTTGACGAGAACTACGCAAATTATCGTCTAAAGCATACATGTAGGTCTGGCACACGTCAGCCTTGACCCCTAAAACGAGACCAATCCTCTAAGCAGTCTTGATCAGTGCTGCATTGCTTACCAAACGAAGGTCACCAGCCACAATCTTTACAGCAGTCCTTTGCAAACGGTTTGACATGCTCCAGACTTGACACCAACACGACTGCTCTACACTAGAATGCAATCCTCTTGCCATATTTACATCCTACAGTAAATGTTCCCACACTTCAGAGCCCGAGAAACACAAGGTAAATATTGCGGCTTCTTAGATACACTTCGTCCATCTAATATTGAGCCACAACGAATTAGAATCCTCACACATCGAAGTCCTACTCCCACGTAGCCTGGATCTACTTCATGAAAGAGCAAAACCTGCATGCTTACTGTAATAGACCTTACAGTAGATGTGAGCAAAATGATAATTATCCATAGTCACAAAAATAGATCCGACACAAGAACACCAGTCCTCCATACTCTTAGCGGACAAATCGAAGCATTAACACATACGCAACGTAAATCTGCCAGATATTATAAAGCTGCACAGAACTCCCTGAGATCGATGCCAAAAGCTTGAAGGCATACGATCACCTGACCCAGCAGGGAATCATTGGTCCTCCAGGCCTTTCTGCGAAGGCAGTGAGAATGAGAGGTTTATGGATCAGACCAGATACTCTGGAACTGAGGCTATAAAATCAAGAATTCACATGAATCATGCCAATGTCATGGAAGTCTGACACCAAATAAATGAGAATGACACTGGCATCCACAATTGTCAAAGTAGCACCCAAACTACCGACATATGATTACAAAATGCATGCAAACTATATCCCTTCGGACATGAAGGCAAGGAGTTTATTAAAGGAATCATATATTGAGATGTAACCCTTTTAACTAAAAGAAAAGAAAAGAAAAGAAAAATAACGAGAAAGAAGGTAAAAATAAAAATACAGATCAGTACCAAAACAAAACAAAATTATAAAAAATAAAAAATAAAATAAAAAAGGGAAAGCAACAAAAGTACCAAACCAAGGTGCTGGGACCAACAGATCGTCTCTCTGCCATGAGCATTGACGTGAAAGGATGAGAATATGTCTGGTATTGACAATGTAGGTCCGGTAGAACCGACAGAGCGAGAGAGAGAGAGAGAGCGAGAGCGAGAGCGAGAGAGGATGCATGAGCTCAGTCCCACGACAAGCAAATCATTCTAATGATCTCTTCTTTTCATCTCCAGACCTAATCTTCAGGCAGAAAAGGGCTCCTCTACAACATCTACAATAAATAAAAATTAATTTTTCAGAAAAGACACCCACGGTATCTTCTCTGAGGGATCACAACACCAGACCTTGGAGCAATGCTGAGATAACACCAGGCTGTCCTTCGTATTTTCTCACGAAGGGGTGGGACAACAACATCTCCGCTGAAGGCCGGCGAGCAGATTCTTTCTGCAAACACAATATAATGAAGTCGCGGAATTCGGGAGAAGCATCCGAAGGCGGGGCAGGGGGTTCTCCCAGGCATATGGCATACATCAAGGTAGGCCAGTCAGGCTTCTCCCCGGGTTGTAAGCATGGGAAGCGGCCAATGGCGCATTCGAGAAGCGTAAGGCCGAGGCTCCAGATATCGGCCGCGTAGCCATACTCCCCGCCATTGCCATCCGGATCGAAGCGCTCGGGGCTCATGTACGCGCAGGTGCCAACGAAAGAATTACACTGCGCCAGGGTATTGGCCAATACGGTGCTCACGCCGAAGTCTGCAATCTTGACCTCCTGTTTGCGATTGAGCAGCAAATTGGAAGGTTTGATGTCGCGGTGGACAATTTTGTGCTTGTGCAGGTAGAGCAAGCCCAGGAGCACCTGCTTCGTTACCTCCGCCAAGTATCGCTCACCGATTTTTTTGTGGTATTTCAGCACATCCGCCAAGGTGCCCCCATCCATGTACTCCAGGACGAAAGAAATTTCACCTCCGCGGTCGAAAACTCCGTAGCATTCCACCAGATGCGGCGACTTGGAAATTTGCAGAATTTCCATCTCGCGCATAATCTGTCTCCTCACCATCACCTCATGCTTCGCCTGAATGATCTTCAGCGCGTACTCCTTCCCAGTCCATCGGTGCCGCACCTTATACACTTTGCCCCCACTTCCAGCCCCAAGTAAACTCACCTTCTCCAGATCAGATAACACCACATTCTTCACATGTGTCACATGTGTCAATTGCGCGCCTCCGCCCTCCACTCCCCTGCTGCTAGGGTTGTTGCTGTTGTTGTAATTGTTGTTGTTGTTGCTGTAATTGCTGCTGTTGTTATACCTACTGTCCAATGTAGGCGGAGGAAGCGGTAATGGCTGCGGAACAGGGGGCGGCCTCGGCGATTGGCGACTCGGCAGATTCAACGACAATCCCAAACCTCTACTCCCCCTTCTATCATTTGCAGCAGCCATCTGTCGCACCCTCTCTCTCTCTATCTCTCTCTCTCTCTCGCTCTCTCTCCTCCGTCCTCAATCAAACCCTCTTCAACACAGCGTCGAGTGTCTCCTTTTATACACCTCCTCCTCTATCGCCCCCACCCAATAACACCAGCCCACTCCTCACAAAACTCCTCTCCTCCCACCACCAAATCCTGTCCACACCTCGTCCTCCCTCCCCCAACACAATTACATCTCCATCCCGCCACATCAAACCACATTCTCAATTCAACCACCCCCTCAGTACCCCCCTCCCTCCCTCCTACAACTCCTTCAATCCCTTCTCGTCTCTCACCAACCCTACTCCAAATACTCACAACACTCACAAAAACCAAACAAATATAAAAATATAAAAATAACAAAAACTCACACAACAACTCCACTCCGAACACACACGCAAATCGATTGTTTCTCAATGCTCTCTTTCTCAATCAATCCAGTCTCTTCTTCTCTTCTAACGTCGTCGTCGTCGTCGTCGTCTCCCAACCCATGTCACACACACACACACTCCAACTCACTCAGATGCTAACCAAATCTCTCTCAAGCCTGCCTGCCTCACATACATAAACCTGACATTCATTCAAGACCAATACCAACAATACCCGCAAAACCCATGAAGAAGAACACAAGCACACAAATAATAACAAACTGGGGCTGGAGGAGGGGGAAAGTACCGCCAGGATCTCTTATCCCAGCAGCTCTCCTCCTTTTTACTATAACAACAAGCCAGCCCCGAACTCACAACTACTACGCCTCCCTCTCTCCGCGTAGTAAACCAGGACGAGGAGGACCACCACCACCCCCTCACTCACTCACTCCACTCACTCAACTCACTTCACTTCACTCAATTACTTACTTACTGTGCCCCCCCGTGCCCGTGAAATGGGGCCGAGACGGGCTTCGAACACGAAGAAGAAGCTGCAAGGCCCACCCGGGAAGGGGGTTGGGTTTCTCTACTCTCTCTGGCTACCACTTACTACCACTGCTGGCCCTCCTCTCCCTCCCTCTCCCTTCAATCTTCGCATCTGCTACATTGCCTCGACCCGTTCGAAGACCCTCGGGCTCCCGTAGATTCTACAAAATCTACGGAAACTGTGGAATCAGAATTTGCGCTTTGTCGACGTTTTTGGACCAGGGCAGCAATTCCAACCGCGTTCCCATGTCCCCCCCCCTTGGAACCGGGGTCCCATGTCCCCCTCCTCCGGCACCGGGGGGGGGGGGGAGGGGGTATAACGGCTGGGAAAACTTACTTGGCTTACTCTCGGGTGTAGGTAAATAAGCCAGCTCTTGGGAATGTTTTTAACCTTCTTCTAATTGTGGGAACGTGAGAAAGTGAGAACTTTCTGATAGGGAAATGGGAACGTGAGAAACGATGGGAACAGCGTTGGCTTTTTTTTTTTTTTTTTTTTTTTTTACAATATCGCCACAGTTGATTTTCTTTCATTTTCTTCCATCTAAATAATAATAATAAGAAGAAGAAATCGCCTTCATATCATGAAGTTTTTTCGGAATTCTCTTTCTACAGTAACCAACACCCTTCTCTTTTTTCTTTTTGTCTTTTTCAATTGCTTTTTTTGTGATTCAACACATTTTGAATCCCTACAGTCAAAAGAGTTGACTCCAACTTCTTCGAAGCCATTGTTAATAGTTATTAGGAATTAATGTTTGTGGTGGAGAATGCTAGTTTTGGGTGATGGTGATTTGAATAAATTTGTTTTAGAAGTACTTTTTGGGCGAATTTCTTTGCAAGCAATAATGCTTTTCCAAGTTGACTCTTTGTTGATGCAAAGTGTAGTGTTACATCTATTTAAATTATCATTATTTGAATGAATGAATAACATGTCTTCCATAGGCTCATGTTATTATTATTATTATTATTATTAAATTATTTATTTATTAACTAGATCCATTTCACACTTGTCATTATCTTTATTTAAATGAATAATTCCTATCTGCTTTTTTCAAGCACACTTGATGACATGTATATTTATGTAAGGGGTTTGATACAATTTAGATTGGATACATTAGAAACATAATAAGGCAACAATATATTATGTTTACAAAAAACATTTGATATAAATTTATAGAAAACAAAAAAAGAAAACAAACAAACAAAAACAAAAACTCACTAGCATCACAATGAATTTTTTTTGTTATGTATGAATATTTTATGTATGTTCACAATGTCATTCAAGTGGTATGATTTTGATTCCATTTTAAAATAAGGTTTTGTTATGTTTTAGGTCCATGACCAATATATGCAAAAACAATGTGCAATAATACAACTACACACACATCTCTCTCTCTCTCTCTCTCTCTCTCTCTCTATATATATATATATATATATATATAATATCAAATACATGTAGTTTTTTCAAATAATCCTGCTAATCGGCTTTCCTGTGTCATTTTCTTCTGAAGGATTGGAGATTCCTCAACACGATATAAATTTTTTTAACAAACAACATATTGTGCAAGTGTGTATTAAAAACATCTTAATGGCATTTGCAAAGAGCCAATAACTAGAGCAACTTGTGAGTGTGTGTGTGTATATGTACATATATATATATAGATGCAGATACATATAAACATGAGCAAATCCCAAACTCAGAGTAAAAAAACATGTGAATGTAAACACATAACAGGTCAGAAAAGAACTCCATCCCAAACAACAATTCAACAACAGATAGTTCCACGAGTAAGATATTAAATTGAGGAGCACTATTATTACTAATGCAATGAGAAGAAGACAATATCATTATGAAAAAATAATTGTTATAAAATTGGTCAGGTTGCTTTACCATCCATCATCATGGTTTTGCATCCCAAGGCTCTCCCACAAGACATGGTGATAACCTAATTTCTCATACTCAACCCTTACTTGGCCATAAGAACTCACATTCACCCACCATTGTTGTCATTTTTGTGAATATAAAATGACAAGTCAGTAGGTGTCATACCAGTTTCAGACCCATCCTTGTCAAAAAAAATGTTATGTTAGGTTGCTGACATTACTTAAAATTTAAAAGAGGATGAAGGCTATAGTTGTAAGACAGAACATAACATTTTTTTCAATCTAAAGAATCATCTTGGTAAGTGCTAAGTAAACCTCCGAAGATTTCTAAAACTTGTTAGAGAATGCGATCTACATGAATATTCAGAAAGCTCGAGTACATGCTCCTAAATTTTTGAAGTCTTGAAATCTCAAGGTCCTTTTCACTGGTACTCCAATAAAATAATCCATTTTTCTCGTTAAGGTTTTCTGCTTCGGAATTTAGAAGCAACTACTTTACCCCTATATGAAACAGGAATTATTGTATTAAAGTGAAGTTTAGGGAAGTAATACTAATGGACACTTAGTGACTAGGTAGAACAATTTGTACGACCACACAATGTCTAGCCTTTCTAAATACACATCAGGCAGGGACGAGATAAATCGATTTCTTCAAATGGGTGTGCAACGACGGGAACAATCGGTTTATAAACAAAAACATTAAAAAACTACAAACATACCCAAAATGTATACACAATTCCCACCAATATGCTAGGCTTGCCTCAACTTCCGTAGTACTTGTTGAGTCGGTCATTGGTAAAGTCCCCGAAGTTGACAACTTCATGCGACTACCACAGCAAATTACTAGAAATCAGTAGGTATCATTAAAGATGAACATCTCAATGACTAAAATGCAGAGATAAGAAAAAAAAAACTTTTTTGCGGTGTGCAGATTGTTACCTCAGTTCGATCACAGTGGCCTTCTGGTAAAATAAGCGGTTCATCCCTGGGTCCACGAATCAAGATATACAAAGCATCAGTTCTGATGGACAAAGTGGATGGGACTCAAAAAACATATCATTAAAAAACATCTTTATCTTATCTTTTTGCATTGTTTCTATTTTTACTAACAGGAAAGCAAACCAGCTTTACCAAGCTAGTCTTAAGGTGGTTTGAAACAACTTCTGCAGTTAAAAATGCAGCTTCTTTGTAATCAAACCGACCAAGCACTATCCTCATCATCATGAAACGCCAGAACCAACTATATCCAAAATCAAGCAAAGAAAATTCAACACTCACCATTGGGGCTGCATGAACAATGCAAATGTGTTGCGGTCCACTCCTACTGCAGCTTCCCCACGCGCTGCCTGCACAAGCGAGGAGAAATAGATGACGAGTTTGTATCCGAGACTTCCTAATGTCGAATGTAGCTTAAGGAACATATCATAGGTGAATAACAACCATAGACTTAGTCTGGCGAAAGAAAGTTAAGGCAAGAAAGGAGTTTATGGTAGGCCCAGAGCATCAATAAGGCATAATGGAGGCATGCTTGAACCTGTACACAATGTAACGTGGCCCGGAAGAGACCCCCTGAATGAAATTCAGTGGCTTCGCCCATTTGGTAAGCTATATCATCTTCGGCAAACACCGCCTGTAAATTGTACTCTAGTATGAGTTTCTTCACATGTAGAAATGCTTGCACAAACTGTAAGAGAAAAGCCTGAATTGTTACAAAAGGCCGGCACTACACATTAACATGAGAATGAAGATTCGGTTAGACCTTGGTAATGGTTCCCAGTCTGTCACGGATGTAGAGGCCAGATTGAGGATCAGGATTCGGAACCTGGTCCTTTCCCTTCATGTACGTTGCACGTGTCAAACCTGCAAATAGTATGTCCCATTAAGTCGAGATATTGGTATGCTAATGTTCTTGGTCTGTTTACTATAAACCTTACCGAGCAAATGCAGAAGTATTTACGGGCGTCCAACAGGATCTTTCCCAAAATCTATGATAGATTGCGAAACACTAAATTGTAAGGACTCAGTCATATGACAAAAAAGAAAGAAGAAAAAAAAAGATGTTTTCTAATGTGCCCCACTCACACCTACAAGTGCGCCACTCCTAAGGCACAAGTTCTCTTTAAGATGTTTACACAAAATGTCGTACAAGGTCAGAAATTGATGATAATATATTTTGTGGAAACACCTGTTAGAGATCCGTGGTCAAAATGCCATCCACACCATGACGCTAGACCTTTCTCCCATTCTTCTGTGTCCCTGAATGACGGATATTTTCAATGAGAGAAACAGTTGAAGTGCAAAGAAGATCTTTACGGTCATGGGACAATGAATCGCTGTGATTGATGCAGACTATAACATTCAGGCTAGGGAATCTCTGTAGTAGAAATGGTAAGATAGAAAGAATAACCTGTTAGATGCCGGAAAATAATGCAAGAGTCGACCTTTGTGACATTTCGAACTCTTCAACATCCTCACAAGTTTTCCTTCTTCATAATCAGGTTTTCTAGCCGACACTGCATAGATAACAATGTCAACGTAAATAGAACAACCCTTTATATAACCTCTCCCCGTATAAAACTGATCTGCCTTGACAGAAGCCAGTGTGTTTGCAACATTACATTCCGGAGTTGCAACATTACAGCGGTAGTTAAATGTAACCTAAGATATAGAATGAGACAAAGTATGACAATCTAGTACTGTCCTGCCTGATGTGTACTGCCAACGGCCTCGCATGAACTATAACCTTATGATCTCAAAAGCCACAAATCGGAAAGACATCACCATAGAATTTGCAACAACTGCATAACAATCACACTGCTGATTTGTTACAAACCAAATTTGCTGCAGTGATGGGCCAGTAGCAGCCCCACGTCTAACATGAGGCGTCCAAGCTCCTTGAATGCTGCAAACAAGAGAAACATAAGTCACTCTTACCAAATATTACCTCTTGATCCTGATGCAGTCTCCGATTCTGCATCGGAAAGGTGGGATATCCATCATATCAATTTTTTATTCAACTCATCATCAAACTTTTTAATAGCAATACACAACAAGTTCGTCAAACTTAAGAACTAAAACTAAGAACAAGTTCGTACCCGGTTCAAGTTCCGGCAAATCCTCTCTAGGCCATATGTTTTGGCGGCAGTATGAAGGGTACCTGCAAAGCTATTCAATTCAGGTGTGCATTTACCAATTCGAACTCGTACCATCGCAAACCAAACGAATACAGAAGTACAAGGTTTACAAAGAATCCGCGTTCAAGGTTATTTATCTACGACGAACCTAGTGAAAAGTGTCACAAGTATGACTTCCGATCTGACCTTTCAATAAGAGCTTCATCGGTTGTGGGCACGTCGACAATAGGATTCGCATAGAATGAGCCTTTATATACATCTGCAGAAATAAGAACCAACAGAGAACTACTAATTTGATGTGCATAAGGTACATACAAGTTGAAGTTTAGAGCTGAATGTAGCTCTGGATAAACATTAAGACACTCCATTCTAGGATCTCTTTAGGAGGAGGGATGAAAAAAATGAGAAGGCCACATAAGACCCCTCACAATATAGCCCTTTCCTTTACATAACATAACAACATGGTCGTCACTGGCAGTTTAAGCATGCGAACATATTCATGAAAGACGAGAGAACATATTGAACCATTTCATAAACGATCTAGAGGAAATGCATCGAACTTACTCTACTAAGGGTTCGACGTAAGACTACCTGGTTGGCCAGATCTTAGCATTTCGTTTCCATGGCTCCAACCAAAAGAGAACCTGCATTAAATTCGTACAACAGACAAGTTGACCCAGTTTAAAGGACGATTCTCTCATCGAACTACTTAATCGGTTTTACCTCACAAGAAAGAGAGTTATCCCACTGTTGACTGTTAATAGGCCAAGTTACGTTCCACAACTAACATTTGCATGGGAACAAACTGATAACTTCCTTTCAAACTTAAACAAGCAGTGCATACAACAGATCGTCACTAAAGAGAGCATTAAATGGCTGGCCTCTAGAATAAGCACGTCTTGAATCAACGTCTAAGTTGCGTGATAAGTACTGAAAGTAACGTGAAGGAGAATAAGCAGAAGATGGCAACATAAGATTACTACCTAAGAACAGCCAGGTGTCTAAGGACTGTCCTTAGACAATTTGAAACTTTGAGATCACCAAAGATTGGCTATCAGTGACACCACATCTGAGCGGCGCATAAATACCTGCTTGCAGGATCAACTAGTGACATTTTTGACTCTTCAGAGAGCGCAGCCATCCTGGTCAGAACGTTCAGTGGCACTGATTACTCAATATGGGTATTCTCATGACTTTTACAGAAAATCTCAAAGCAAACTTCTCAGCACGTGCATCAAGTATTCCAGCATGACATCCTTGAGCGTAGGCGATGGAAAAATTGCATGGCAAAACAAAGGACGTGATGGCCAACATTAGTAGATATCCTCATGCAATTTCACAATAAAACACAAACAACTCAGTTCCAATGTCTTTAGCCATCGAGACTGTTCCAATCGGAAGTAGTATGAGTTGCATATAACTTCTATAACCGGCATTCTACCTGGATGCAAGGGGCAGAAGCCTCGAACGCAATTCACTGTACTTAGGAACCTGCAAAAGGGAACTTCAAAATCTGGCGGGACGGTTCTTCCTTGCTTACAGATGTAGCAACACTGAACAAGCAGATGCATGACTTTGAAAGAGTTATAACGCAACAGTTTCCAAAATCGAAAAATGCTTCAGGATATTTGATGAGTGACATCAAAAAAAATTGCATACGCCTGAAACAGCCACAATGCCGAGTGAATTGGGACCGAAGCCGGCCTCCAGCTCCAGTGATAAATCGAAATCCTCTTTCTGTGAGAAATGGGGCAGAATTGTTGTACACAAGTACGGTCAATAAATTCTTGGACATCAATCAAAGACTCAAAACATCGCTACGTTCCCCAGTCACCACCAATTGACAGAGTTGGGCGTCACGGAGTCGACTGATTCCCAAAAGATTTTTTGAGCCAAACGCCTATTTATGATGTGTATCGCTCATTCGGACAATTCGGAGAGTGATGGGAAAGCAAACCTACCAACAAGTCTGCATAGGGAATGGTGACTATGTGGCGGACCGCTGGTGGGATCGTCAGAATTTCAGGTGAGCCTCCATCATTCTCCAAACACCCCATTCTCAAGAACTGAATCTGGCTGTAAACGCCACACAAGCGTCTCATCAGGAAAGTCTGAATCATGAAAATGTAGCTTAAGTTCGAAAATCCTTCCCAATCACAACCAAGACTTGAGCAGAATCCAAACTCGGATATCAAGTTCGTCAAAATAGTAAGTCACGCGCAATGGCTTCAGCAACTGAGTAAACCCTTCTCTTCCAAAGATACGCCGTTCATAAGTAACACAAACTCAATTATTGCAGCACTCGAACGAACACAGAACCAAAATTTCCCAATGAATAACGCAAGAATCCCAGCCCAAACTAACCTCTGCAGAAAATTCTTCCACAGGCGCCTCAACAGACTAGTCACAATCCTAAAAAAATTGCATCATCGTTTCAAGAATTTCCTCCACATGAGAGAACAAAGCTGCAGGAGCTCTCACACAAACACGTACCCAGGAATGCTAAAACTGAGGTACCCGAATTGACAACACAGCAGAGCTTCACTATGCAAGGGACCTGCTACAAATCCTACGCTTCTCACACCATCTACTCCCAAACCTCTTTCTGATCACTCAGTAGGTAAATGGGTGATTCGTGTGCTGCACTTGAAGTGGCAGTCGTAACGGACCGAAGAAGCAAACCTGTTACGTATCATAAAGCTCGAACGAAAACCAGGTGCCAAACTAACGATACCCGGGATATGCGTATTGAGGACGCCACCCGGCATCTGCAAAAACAGAAGCAGGTTTCTAAAACCCTAAATCTCTGGGGCAGTCACCTCGAGGTGCATTTGCCATGGCGTGACTCTCATTCTGCCCTGCGATCGAAGGTGTGTGTGTGTATTCTGTTAGGCAAGCATGTGGGGCTCTAGGGGAACTCGCCTGTGGCGCAGCCTGGACAGGGTTCGAAGAGGAGCCGAGTTGTGCTTGCAGCAAGGAGCGCGCGATTCATCATCGTCGTCGTCGTCAACGTCGCTGTGGAGCGTTGCTCCGCGGTGGGCGTCATCGGAGGCAGCGTTTGCTAACGACGCGCGATGTGGGTTCGGTGGTGGCCTCTCGGGCGGCGAGCAGAGTCTGAAATGGTCTTCCGTGTTTGCGCAGCAGAGAATGGTAGGATTTGTGTCGCCATTGCTGTCCTACGTGCATGGATTCAGTTGGGACGCGGTGTGAGTAGTGGTTATTTGTACTTAGTTTTGAAATTGGTTAATTTGGTGTTGGTTTTTATGCCTTTGAATATCTTGGTGTTTGAGCAAGGGTTTTCAATTCTTAAATTTTTGACACTGTAGCGGTCTGAAATTGTAGGCTAGTTTCGGTTGCTGGAAGACGTTGTTCTGCGTAATGTGGCACTTTGTTTCTGATTTATGATAGAGGAATTATTTCTCAGATTTTCTCAATTTTAAACTGGACGTCCATTGCATTTCAATCAGGGCATCACGTCAGTACCTGAGTCTTTGCAAGCTTCAGATGGTGTAGATCAGTTAGTACGCTCGCCACTTTCTCAAGCCCCAGCTCCTGTATCCGAGGTTGAAGGTGGCAACAAGCCGCTGATGGGAATAAAGAAAGAGACTCAGGCCGTATTAACTTACATTAAGCAGGTAACTTCCACTGTTTCGGGTTTTGTTCACGACACTGCTGAGCCCTCTTTCGAAAATCAATTTGATGCCGTCGAGCGCGGAGATGCCCAGTTTTGCTCATGCATCTTGCCCAAGCTATTTCGTATCTGAAATTTGGAGCTTTTCTAATGTTCAATTTTGGGTGAACGTTTACAGAGCCCCAAGAAAGTGAATTTGGTTGCAGAGCTTGTGCGCGGCATGCGTGTCGATGATGCGTTGATGCAGATGGCAGTGTCTACCAAGCGGGCTGCAAAAGTTGTTGCCAAGGTAGGTACAACCCTTTTCTCACATGTGGAGTTCACGTCACATGATGCAGTTCGGAAGTTCCCAACTTCACCAACACGTTTACCTTAAACTGGCGTGTCGAGGACTCAGTGGACCGCAGCCTTCTAGGGTTGATGTATGCAGTAAGTTAAAAGCTATGCGTATTAATTTGACATTTACTCCTTGCAGGTGGTAACCTCCGCTCGCGCTAATGCTATTCACAACTTTGGTATGGACAAGGACCGGCTTATTGTTGGTGAGTCGTTCGCCTTTGATTCGGTTTAGCATAAATTCAATGTCTAATTACTTATTGGTGGAAAGGATTACGGGCAGGCTGGTGTTTCCTTATTATTTCGCAGTTTTGTATTGTAATCGTTCTGTAGGGTCAAGAATTTCTTCAAGCGGTTATCTTTGCTGAAATTGTGCTGAGACAGTTTCATTTTTCAGTTGAGGAGCTGTTCTCCTTCAACTGTGCAGTTTTGCGGTGTATCTTTTTTCAACCGTATTTCTGTCTTCTGTGCAGCGGAGGCGTTTGTTGGCAAGGACAAATACTTGAAGAGATTGCGGATACATGGGAAAGGAAAGGCAGGTCAGATGGTGCGACCGCGCTGCAGACTCACTGTCGTTGTGAAGGAGTTGTCGGCTGAGAAAGAAGCGGAGCTGGCCAGAGTACGACTTCACAAGTATCACAGCAAGAAGATCCGTGGAAACATTACCAAGTTGATGCCTCACCGTGTTCTTGCAACGCAGTGGCAGTGGTCGCGGAAGCCTCGCAAGGGAAGCGTATCCATCTCATCAGAATGAGGATCAGAAGAGTTTGGTACATCCTGCAATTTTCATCTCATGGTTAGGGACCGCATTTCATAGATCGACTAAGATAGGGATATAGAATTAGATGCAAAAATTCATGCTGCAGTAGATGTGTTCAGGGAGTTGGTGTCAGTCCGCATTATACATATCTGTCAGGGTCACTAGTGTAATTTTAGTTGAACCTACGTCATCCATCCCGAAACTTGGCAAACCCAATAATGAAGGATCACTGACCTTCAGAGGATTAATTTTGAGCTCTGAAGGCGGGGGGTTTAGGGTGGAAGGTAGCCTTTTACCACATTCGTGAAGACTGAACCCTCGCACAGCTTGACATCGACCTCGAGTTATCCCTTGATCTTAATCAGAATTTTATTTTTATATCAGCTGTTAAGTTTCATGATAAGACTTTTACTTGTGTCAGCAGAGCTATTTTATTGTGGTGGAACCTTGTTGCCTATTACCAGTGGACTAAATGTGGATGGGCTTTTATGCCTCGTGCTAATTTGGTGCATTGCAACCATTTTGTTATTTGTTTTCATGTTCTCGTTCTAATTCACTTGAACTCGAAGACACATTTCAAGAACCAAGTTTGTAGAATTGAACGCAACAATGACAGTTACAAGCAACCAAGTTTGGCTGCTCACAGCTAATGTGTACAATTTCACGCACAAACTTTCACCAGTAGACACGAGTATTATGAGCATAGGAGAAAAAGAGATGTGAACGTCTCTAAAATATTTCTTCAATAGACAGCCCTTTAATCGTCGTTACAAGAATACCTTAGAGGTCAACGATTTGATAATCATTTTTGAAAAACTGTAACATAGGTAATCATATCACCCAGTGTTATTTGTACCATTTGTTACATGGTTTTGGGCATTTCGACTTAAATTTCTTTTTGTACAATGAAGGGTTAAATAATACTCTACAAGTTATGATTCAAATCATGCATCAGTGGCGCACAAACCATTCATTGCAACTAGTTATCGAATCCTCAATTTCAAAAAAACACGTCACAACTTAATTTCCTCGTCGATTCACATTCGTTCAAGGAGATATTTTTCGTTCTCAATTATGGAATTATACCAGCAAATTTACACACGACATGATGTGATACACTTACATTCTTGTAATCTTTGCGATTTCCTGTAATAAACGTACTGGTATCGAATCTTCAATTTTCTACATGTGGAAGTTATAAAACGTGGATGAAACTATCCTCAAAAACAAACATTGAAGAGCATTATAAAGTAAGTTTTCCCCATCTAAAATAAAAATAATGAAAACATGTGAAAATAAATTGAAAAATCAACGCACAAGTGCACAAGCGCACACTTGATCAACCATGACTGCACATCTTATAAGTTTGGTTTAACTTTTGATTGCAGTTTTTTTTAATAATATCAGAGTGATTTTCTTTTCAACGCATACGCAACTAGGCATTGTAACTCAAATTGCAATAATTCATCATCTAGATTACTCCATGCTTCAGAATATTGCAAAGACTCTCGATCCTAGTTAGAAGGGATAGGCGTTGCTAAATTCGACTTCTAGATCAACAATTAGCTCATCATTCTGCTGCATCGCTTTGCTGATGGTATCATATCTTCTCCAATATTACGCACCAATTTGACTTATCATAGAAGTGGTCAACGAGTCTTGCACACTGTATTTTTGATGCCAATCTGCCACCACATTGAATAAGGATCAACTTTGTTCTTCAAAGATCTATGCATGTATAATATTTGACAAAGAAAAAACAACAGAAAACAGAAAAAAAAACACCACTAAGAAAAATCATCAAAAATCACAAGGCAGCAATAAATGCATCACAACAGGCTTCATCTTGAATAAATTCTACTTGATCAAACGCGCCAACAAAATTTCATGGTAACTTAAGAGAAAAAAGCAGTACCTTTCAAGTTCCCCTTCCACAAAACAATGATAATATCGGTTGTACACCAAAGCACGTTTAACATCATCTTTCCGTGCTAACCCATCAGCAATAGCTGCAGCTGATGCACCCGCAATTTCTGCTCGATGATATGGTAAATGCCAAGGCACAAAATACTCCTGCTGCTCCCCCTTCATCTTACCATCATGTGTACTTAAATCTTCATTAAGGATATATTGTTGTGCTGCAGCTGCCTTCTCCATTGAGCTCAGGCGTACCCCCTCCGTCGATGAATCTTTAAGATCCTCACTTGGAATTGCAGTGGGAACCTGGCTTTCTACTTCCTGGATGCTTTTTAGAGAATTCATCGACAGGTTTCTTTTGAAAGCAGCGCCCGTGTCATCAACCCACTCTTCCGTGTACTTACAAGTTAATGGAGTCCATTTGGTAAGCAATTTCTTGTCTTCTTGTTCTACAGCCCATACAGTAAAAAGAACTCTGCCTTTCCTGCGTACGACTCTGAGTAATTCTTCCATAGCACGCAACCTGCGCTCTTCATTGCTCAAATGATGCAACACTGCAATAGAAATGCCAGCATCGAAGAACCCTGTCCTATATGGCAAGTGTAATGCATCTGCCACCAATGCCTCATGCCCGTGCTGTGCACAGATACCTATAAGAGGGGGACTGATGTCACATCCAACGAAAAAGCACTTTTTGTTGAAACCCAGATACTTTCCATTCCCACACCCAGCATCAGCAACAACCGAGCCAGGTTCCATCGACTCCAGAAACATTGCGACTTTTGGCCATTTGGCAAATCTTGTATCACTGAAATGAGGGGCGATAGCATTGTACACCTTGTGTACGTAACGTTTCTCAATTTCAGGAATAGTTGTATTGAAGTGTTTTGGTTCATTGCCCATCTCGGCAGACATGGACTGCTTCTCTGAAGGTGTTTTGGGAATTTCATCGTTTGAGCGCAACTCTTCAAGAGTTTTGGTAGACTCCTTTATTTCCTCGTTTTGTAAAGCAAGCTCCCCAGCATCTGATACTTGAGAGTCACAGTGCTCAATAAAAGGGCAGTTGCAAGCCCCCGGCCTGACCTGATGACAGGGAACATATAATGATTAGTATGTATTTTATCAAGACATTAAAATCGTATGCTCTCCACAAAGAGGAAGGCAGTGCATTAGAGAAGGTAATCACCTTCCGGAAAGTGAAAGAAACCCGTCTTGTACCTCGATCTAGTACCTGGCCATTCACATTGTCAATCTGTAGACAAAACTCCGCGTGTCAGATTCATTAACAACTTCAAAACTTTTCGTCTAAATCTCAATCGAATGGTTGGGATAAACTCAGAATCTAAGAGCATAGCTATGCACTAAAATGAGAATCATACCTTGTGATGGGGTATATAGTGATGCCAAGCATAGCGTGCCTCGCCAGATAAGATCAGGAGTGATCTCGGAGGAAGAAAAAGAGCTTTCCGTATGATGTACACTGATCCAGTCGGTACGCTATCATCATTCCTTACTACTATTGCTTCAGCATTTTCGTTGGATTCATCATTTTGCTGCGAAATTGATGTTGAAGTGTGTGCGTCACCATCCACTAACGAATTACCTCGCTTGATGTACTTCCGGAACTCCATTATGCAGGGCCCACCTAATGACAGAGAAAGAATGGAGCCCTCAAATGCTGAATGAGTATCAATATGCGGTGAGAGTCCAACTCCTCTTGGATATTCGTTCACCTGCAAACAGCATGACACATGAATTCCGATAGGTTCTTTTTTCAAAAAAGAGGCTTAGAGACACCAGCTTCATATGACCGTTAAACTGCAGCAACTATTCTGTTACAATGTTGTGAGAATCCTGTGGATTAAATTTTCCGTTACTTTAATTTAGACAACAGACTCTGAAAAAAAAAAACCCATTCGACACAAAAATTATTATATGCGAGTTTTTAAACAATATAAAACATAGATAGAAGCTGATCAGCAAGAGCAAAGTGCATACTTACGGTAAGTTGGTCAAAAGGGAGCGTTGGCTCTTCAGCACTTGCAATTTCAGGAACCAAAGATATCTTGTTAAGAAGTGGCTCCAGAGATGCAGGCAGTTCTCCAAGCTTCTGAGACAAGTCTACGTTCCTAGTCTGCAAGCGCATGCAGCAAAATCTGAAATGGTCAAACTACCCTACTGCCTAGGTGCGGTAATTGCAAACTCACATTTTTGAGAGAGACAAACAGAAAGACAAATTATAAAGGTGTGCCAACAACAACAGCTTTAAATGCATGCACAAAATAGAAAATAAGAATAGTACAATAGCAACAGAATGTTTTAGAGGAACATAGAGAGCTCTAAGAATGTATTACTATGAGGCAGAGAAAGAGGTTCCGCAAATTGCCATCCAATACAAACACAGTGCGACATTACACCTACATCTGATACATAAGAATGAGGTAAATTAAGGACCTTATACAAAAACTCGTACCCATAGTGCTGCACCCTCCGCTTCGCAAGGGTCTGCCAGGACCTCTCATCTACCTCGCGCAGGAGTTCCTGAATTTAAAAATGTAATATATAAAACGAAGGAATGAATAAATAAATAATAGATAAATCTCTATATGAATGTAATTTGTAAAGAGCTAATTCTGATGGTGTACGAGCGAGTTCAACGAGAACGTGTTCAAAAAGTGACCTGTTCTTCCGAAAGAGTCACGAAGTCGGTGTATAAAGTGAGTCCAGGTACACCCACATCAGCACTTGATGTAAAAACCACCTGTTCCTCCACCTAAGAGATCAACCACTATTCTAGGTAAGTTCTAAGGGTGTAGTTGATTGATCAGAAGCACCTTCTTCTGAAGCTGACCTAAAATTCATCATGTAACCCCTTAAAAGGTCGACAATGGTGGGACTTTCCGTACTGATTTGAATAATTTCACATTGCTCATCCGTAACTAAAGTGATTAGTTCACTTAAATGCCATCTGAAGGCAAAGGTTAGATGGTGAAAACGTTGTTGTAGAAGGGAGATCTACGAAGGGATATAAAAGCGAGAGATTGAAGTGAACCGATTGCTTTCACAAAGAGGTAACCCTAAAACTCACTTCGGAAGAATTCAAGAAGTATGTACTTACAGAGGACTGAGTCTGCGGCACAGCATGTTGAATAACCATCACTCGACCTTGAAGAGCATCACATGGTTTCAAATTCCATGCATTACGAGCAGCCACCGCGTCATCAACATTGTGATAGGAAACATACACTCGTGATCCACTAGCACCAGCTAGTTGGACATTTTCAACAGACCCAAAGATTTCAAAAGCCTTCTTAATGTCCGAGAAGGCTAGTCCAACGTCTGGCCCGCAGTTGGCTACATACAAATGCGCTGTCCCTTGCATCGTAGGGGGTGGCTTGACGAATGAAGTCTGCAGCATGATGTCCATATTCCAGATTCCCATTCTCAAATTCACGCAAGGTTTTTGCAGTCTGCTTGATGCAAGAAGGCTGGATGAGAAATGCTTCACCAACAATGAACTGCTAAAAGAGCCTACATTGTATCCTCATATGCTCCATAGCATATTAGACATGACGCTGTAGCTCGGACATCATCTTATGTATCGTAACGCTGAAATCTAAGGAAAATGGTTGAATGAAAAGAATGAACACTTACATCTCCCGCTCGTTTTCAGCATAATTTGATGGCCTTCAGAGAGAGCGTTGAACAGATCAAAACAAGTAAATTACATGCCATCAGCAATTCCAATCCAATACAACTACAGATTCCAAAATATTCAGGTACTGGATCGATACAGGTTCAATAAAAGCACGACCAGAACAGATAAATCCCCACGGAAACTCAGAAGAGAACATAAACCCTAATAAGAACCCCTGGTTTCCGCAACCCTGGTAATATCGCTCGTGCTATTAACCTTAATTTGGAAGAAGAAAAAAAATCCACTGACAGAGAGATCCAAAAACTAACAAACCACCTAAACCTCAGCAAATAACAACAAATACAACCCGCAGCATTCAAATCACACAACTGCAGCAACTAATTCAACCACAGCTCCAAAATTCTCCCATGAAAGTACTATTAGAATCTGAAGAAGAAGAAGCTGATGTCCTTTCAGATAGTGTTGCGATTCTGGGTCAAAGATGAGTAGCGCCTATTCGACATCGACAAATGAGCCGAACTGAAATCACTCAACGAATCTCTCCAACAACACAATCACTCATTCGCTCGCTGAGAACGAGGAACGCAGGCAGCGAAGGCGACTTCGGAGGCTTCAGCAGCGGTGACAAGGTCCCGACGGACGAAACTCGTCCGTCGTCGTCGTCGTCCTTCTCCGTGCGGCTTTCGTCGCCTTGTCCATTTCTCGTCCAGAAAAAAAATGAACCTTAGCAGCACTTCGCCGTGCGGCACGAAATTAGGGCTACTTTGAATATGGCCGCTTCAAAATCTTTCACATGCAGAAAGTTAGGTTTTAAAATGGTGACAGACGTTGGACAAAAGGAACCAATCAGATTTTCTTAAACCAACCCGAAATCTTTGGTTCGATGTGTTGGGGCCATGTGAGTACCATGAATTTTTAGCAAAAACATATTGATGTTGATGAATATTTATTGAAGTTGTAAAATGATAACTAAATAACATGTGTTAGTTTAATAAATTTAACTTAATTAATTAACTTATATGTAAAAAATTAAAAAAAGAAAAAGAAAAAGTGTTTGGTTTTTAAAGGTCTCACTCTTGGACATTGAAGAAGTGAATTTTTTTCATCTTACATTCCTGAAGATATTAATATTTAACGAATTGTTAACATCGATGAACAAACTTCTTAAACAGTGCTTGTGATGTGAAAAAAACACAATTTACATGTGAATGGCTCAGTGTGCACATTATGTAGGCATTATCTGAGTTGGATGACGCGGGGAAAGACTTCAGTGAATTTGTGAAGTACTAAGTTGGTTTTAGGGTAGATTGTTTCCTTCTAGAGAGGAGGAGGAAGAAGATTCTATTCCACTCTCCCAAACTTTGTTTAGAAACTGCCAAAACAAAAACTTTTATGCGAGAGTGGAGCAAAACAAAAAGAAATCGACACCAACCCAACCTTGTACATCATATTCAGACATGGGAAACGCAAAGCAATGTAGCATCTTCCGCCCATACTCATGTTGTTTCACTTTGAATAGGGTTGTCAGCACTGATCGAAGTTTGTTCATGACAAATGGGAAACACAATTTTAGTTCAACACAAAAATACAATATTAGCTATGTGGTTGGGAAAGCATCTTCGGCACTTTGAGAAGTGGTCACAATTGCAACTTGTTTTAGCGTTTAACAAGTACAAGAGCATTTCTGTGTTGCTTTGAGTTTTTAGAACAATGAACAAAATACAGTGCGCGAGCAAGTTCCACTTTTCTGAAGGAATCCATGAAAAACAAACACTGAGCTTTGAAACCGAGAACCAGTGACCACCCACATACGATTATGAGAAACGTAGACTGTCAATATATTTAAGCGTTCGACGAAACCGAATTCACTTCACTACATACCCGATTCCCATTTTCGTTCAACATTAGCCTCTCCGAAATCGCTACAAGGAAAACCAGCTACAACGCTCTGTACAAACTTGTGTATACAAAAAGGAAATTGATGCGACTCGTTCTAGATTTCGACTGCCGATCAACTGTCGGCGCAATGGGTTTAGTGCCACCGGGGTCGATGAAGCGATGTGACACTCTTGGGAGCTCAGTTAGTGTCATTCTGGTTCACCGGGGTAAATAACTGCACTTGAACTGGACTCGGTTGATAGAAAGGGCGCGTCTGCTCAGGGTGCCCTGCAATGCCATTGAAATGAATGAGTTTTCCACAGTGTCAACATGCACATTACCAAACTCTGTGAAGCATCAGCAGCTTCAGATCATTGCGAGTCCCCCAAGTGACGACGGTACCATACCTGGTCCACTTTCATTCCTGTTGGCGATTCCCAGACGCTCTTCGCCGGATCGCGGAGCTGGGACCTGATTCACATGGGTCACTCCTTCCTTGTTGTAGATCCTGTGCGTGGCCGGATCGCTCTTGTTCAACCCCGACATGGCTGGCAAATCCTTCACCACCGACACAGGCTCAAAGCACAAGGCTGCTGCTGCTGGCTAGCAAGTCGATCTACTACTATTCAAGGCCGCCGATCGAAAAACCAGTCGCACTGTTGATCCCTGAATCGACCGTCTCAATCTAGAAAAACACAAACTCGACAGTTTGTGAAGTGCTTGTGATATGGTTCGTATGTGCTCAAGCCGGCAGAGATTTATGAACCCGGTCAGGGGATGGGGGTTGCATGATGAAGTGATGCAAGAGCTTGCCAAATGGGACGTGGGTAGGGAGAGGAGAGGCGAGCTGGGCAAGTGGATATCGCGAGGCAACATGATTTAAGCTCTCAGGCACTGAGCCACATCTGTAGGTTGCTAATGACGACACAGTGGCGGCTCTAGACATCGGGAGGAAAACCCACGAGAGGTGAAAACACTGGAAGCGAACACCTAGCGAGCACCATCGGAACCCCATTTCTTTTGCTTCATTCTTGAGCACACATCTGCTAATCTTTGCAGATTCATCGAAACTTGCCTCCTCGATGCAAAATGAGTGTAGAATTCAGCGAGAGCTGCAACGAAATGAGTTGGACTGAGATCATGACCTTGTTCGTGAGCTTTCGCCTACGTCTCAGTTTCGATGCACTGTGCACCATCTTTTACTGGTCTGTTTGTGTGTTTCCATCGTTGGGATTCTGTGATTAGTTCATTGGGAAAATAACATCACTCTTGTGAATTACGATGTATAATTAGTTTAGGAAACACTGGGTTTTTAGATTTTTTTTTTTTAATTTAAATGAATTTTTTGAAGTTTGTATTGGTGGTTCAGATAGTCTGCGTAATGTGAATGGACTGTGGATATACACATTATGTATGCATACATGTTTTACAAAATTGTGTACGTGTTGAGAAGCGGAGTTTTGTTTTGTTTCGCCCCTTTTTTTCTTTTCTTTTTTTTTTTTGCGAATATATGTATTAGTGTAGATAAATGAAACTCTGCTGCTTCATAGTGACACAAAATGGAATTTAAGAAATTATTGGTATTGGTGTTATTATCACTTGAAACCCATAATTTTGTCACGTCAACAATAAAAATCAATTGAAGAAATATAGTAGTTGTTACGTGCTGTAGTTCTTGCATCAAATGTTTTGTGAATAAATTATTGAATTTATTATCAGTGATATATTCTGTAGAATTTTTCGTTTATTTTAAAATTAAATACGGAAGCATTTGAAAAAAAAAGAGCCTAAAGTTTTTTAAAAACATGCATAAAAAAAGGTATTTATTGCTTAATAACAAAAACTAATCACACAAACTTTATAAATAAATAATACTTGATTGATAAGATAAGTTGTTCGAAAAATCAGATTAAACTTTAACCAAATCAGAATATAATGCAAGCACCCTCCCTGTTGACATGTATTTGTGAGAATTCACAGATAAACATCTCACACATCCTGAAAACATCATAAATAAAAGAAAACTAGAAAAACCCATATTTCCAATAAGATTTTTTTACTACTAAAGTATGTATACACACACAAACACAAACAATCAGAGGATAAAGAGATATGTATCAAAGTGATTCAAATCATCTTTACTTGGAATACATTATGAGAACAACACAATAAGGGGATTCAGACTTGACGTATTTGCAAAACCAAATAATTGGAGGTTCAGCAATGATCTTTCTAAGGTCACTCAAAATATCAAATCCAAAATATCACTGTTCAAACTTTATTACCTTAAGAGAATTAAGGCAAGCAACATTGTTTTTGGTATTTCACCAGCCCCTAGTTTGCTACCTGGATTTCAAATTCACCCACATCGCAAAGTATATTTGGTAAAGTATCAAGTGATTTTTCAAAAATCGCTGGATACTTTGAGATCTCATCATGGATGAAATATCACCAAAAATAAAAGCCAAGTCTGAATCCCCTTGATATGTGCTAATAATCCATTAGAAGGAGTACTAAAGAGATTACAAACAGTATAATAAATAATGGAAAATTAATATAATGAAAAGAGGGTATTTGAAGAGGAAACGAGGAGGGAGGTTCGTGGGCAACAGGGCCTCTCCTTCGTCCTCCCTTCCATGGGAAGAAAAGCAGTGTTGTTGTCGAATTAGGGTCTCGTTGTTTTTGCAGGCTTCGATGCAGCAACCAAATTCAATCCTTCACCATGCAATCTGCCCCTGCTGGAAATTTAGTTAGGCTGCTTACGTTGGTCCTTTGAAGGTGGCGAGCCCAGGTTCGATAGTTGAGCGTTCGTAGTTGGTTGTGTTTTGGTCGTAGTTTGGGTTTTTAGCTGAGACTTGTGTGTGTTGTTGCTGTTGTGATCACGTCATTTGGAGGGGATTTCCGCGTGTGTTCAACTCTGTTTCTGAATCAAGGTTGAGTGGTGATTCGTTTCTTTGAAGTTTTAGTGAGATTGCCGGTGAGATTCTCGAATTGAGGAGGTGGTGTAGGGTTTAATTGAAGTTGTGATGGAGGCCCCGTCGGAGGCTGGAGCTGCTGCTGCTCCTGCTGCTGGGGCATTCTTCAAGAAGAAAATTCAGAATAAGAATATTCGGAAGCGGCCGACTATTGATGATGGTGATGAAGAAGAGGAGAATGCCGGGTCTGCCGTAAACAAAGGGAAAATCGCGAAGAAGGGTGTTGGGCGGCTGGAGTTTAATTCTGGCGCACCAGTAGGCACTTCTAAAGTACAAAATTCGGAGGAGTCGGACAAGGCGGGAGAGGTGGAACGGGCCACCTTCGTGTATGAATCGACTCGGCAGGTGCAGACGCAGGATGATAGCAGGGCTACGGCAGTGTCGGAGATTGAGACGGAATTTGACAGGGATAATAGGGCTATTCGAGAGAGGGTTTTGAAACAAGCTAGTGAAGCTCTTAAGAGTGGGGAGCCTTCCAATAGCAAGGTTTACAAGGGTATTCATGGCTATACTGATCATAAAGCAGGGTTTAGGCAGGAGCACACAATATCTAGGGAGAAAGCGGGAGGGGCTCATGGACCGTTGCGTGCCTCTGCGCATATTCGTATGACTGTCAGGTTCGACTATCAACCTGATATCTGCAAGGATTATAAGGAGACTGGATACTGCGGTTATGGCGATTCTTGTAAATTTATGCATGACCGTGGAGACTACAAATCAGGTAACAATCACTCCCAAAAGTTGTTTCTGTAATGTTGAAGAATGTAACTTCTTATACCTCGTCTTCTTGAACAATTTTTTTGAAATTCATCATCATCATCATCATCTTCTTCTTAGACTGCGAAGAGTTCTTGTCTCACGGTTTTGCTGTAGTGTGTTTTAATATTCGTCTGCTGTGTAGAATTGAATTGTGCATAACTTTGATCCGGGTTTCTCTGTGACTGTTCTAATTCTAGTTGTTAGTTGGTTAGCATTGAGTTCGTTTGTATTTACTAATTTATTTTGGAAATCTATGACAGGATGGCAAATGGAGAGGGAATGGGACCAGGAAGAGAAACTTAGGAAGCAGAGACTCGCCAGAGGGGAAGCCGATACCGAAGAGGGTGAAGGAGCGGGGGATGACAGCGATGATGAAGATGCTCTTCCGTTCGCTTGTTTTATATGTCGCGAGCCCTTCACTGATCCTGTTGTTACAACTTGCAAGCATTACTTCTGCGAACATTGTGCTCTGAAGGTGCGTTCTTTTCTCTTGAATCACTTTTATCCTCCAATCATATGTTTTGTTAGGTGTGCGGGTTCGCTGGATGAGGTTCTCCGTCGAAATTTGCAGAAACTTTATTGCAACTTCCCAGATAGTCCAAGACCTTGTTCTAACTGGAATATTTATGGTATTTCTGGTTGTGCAGCATCACTCAAGAAATAAACTCTGTTACGTATGCAACAAACCCACGAATGGAGTTTTCAATACAGCTCACGAGATTGTCCGGAAACAGAAGGAAGCCAAACAAGCAGCCGAAGGAGGAGATTAGATGGAATACGAGAAGGAGCAGTAAAGCAAGAGATGTATGGCTCTGAAAATCTTCAAGGGTCGATTTACATGATAACTTTTCAACCGCATGTAGGTCTTTGTAACGTCAAATGTGCGATTCGAGGATTGTGTATATGAGAAGTGGACTTTCTAATGAAAGAGAAATCCAATTATTAGTTTCCACTTCTTGATTCTGAGAAGGGTAAGGTCGAAGAATTCGAAACATGGGCACCACCTGCGTCGTTTGTCCATGGCAAGAGCCTTCTCATAGCGACTTGCATCCCTTTAAATAGGTTAGGCAGCTATAGTTCCTTTGTTGTCTTTTTGTCAGGTTATTGTGCACAAATGAAGATCGATTTTTTTGAGAAGTCGATTGTAGTTTTTCGAGCAGAAGTGCTGCTATGTGTTATATATTCCTTCTTGGTAATGTGATTTCGGTTACCGAGCGTTTCGCAACACTGTCCAACTATTAATTTTCATGCGGATTCCAACATCCTCTAGCAGTAGTATTTCATGCCCAACGTGGATGGATAATCAACTAGTTCCTAACAGTTAGTATGGATTCTAGACACAGTATTACACAAGTCTATTACAGAGAGCCAGTGAAAAAAGAGGGCAATTTCCTTCTGTAAGAAAAGCTAACCAGTTGCTGTGGTGTACATGATATCTGCAATAACAATGCCGGTTTAATGGCTTTAAAATGTCTATTTGACTACAAAGCCGTTTTACAGCTTTCTGCCGTAAGTGGAAGCTCAAGCACAAATGTTCAAGCCTACCCACTCACATCTATGTATCATACATGTACGTGCCCATGTTAAATAATGAATCAATATCTCATTTCGATTCATCCCTATTTAATGCTGTTATTGTTACATCTATAGTCTCCAACTCCTCGCCTTCCTCAAGCTCCATTCTGTACCGCTCGTCTTCCTCTAACGCACATAATGTCACTCCTCTCTCGTCTTCTAGCTCCTCTGGTTCTGGTGATGGTGTTCTCATTCGCCACTTCAATTTAGCGATACCTCTGCTTGCTGGTTGGACCTGCCAAACGTGGATCATTCATTATTTAGATTCCGATTCACATGTTTGACTCAAATTTGTTCAGGAATTTTTCTACAAGCCCTCAAGAGTCTACTTGGAATATACTTGAAACTTTGTACCGTTCTATGACGGTTGTTCCATAAAAAGTGCTTTGATCAAGTGTGCAACAACTGGTTAACACCATGACCAAATAATGATGTAGGTACTCACTGGAGACGACACAGGTGGAGAGGGTTCGTTATCAGAGATCTCCGCAGAGGCAGCAAGGCTTTCGGTGTCAGGATTGGATACTTGATCAGCAGCCCCAGGCTGGAGTTTCCGATCAGTAAACACTCCGGAGGACGAAGCGACAGCAACAACCGATGAGGACGTTGACCCGTCTTCCCCAGAACTAGCGTTTCCATTTAAAACTTCTGTAGATGAAATTTTGACCTCTGTTGCAGAGTTGTTGTTGGCAAACAATAATGGTAACTTCTCGTCTAAGTTTCTGTCCTGCAACAAAAGACAATCAAACTTGTAGGGGTAAAGTCTGGGAAAAGCTTGGCTCTACCGCATCGGCTGATGGTGTTAATAGAAAATCATCACAAACCTAAATGGCAGGTTGACACGCGATGCAGAAATGATAATCTGAAATAAAGAGCAAATCAGAAAAGCTAACGACTGCAAAACAAGCTGTAAATTATGTCAGCGACGCCTAACCTCCTTGTCTAACGAATATATATCTGCACTAGGAGCGGTACTCCCTGCATCCATCCAGTAGGCTTGGTCATTGATGATTTCATTTTTCCTCTTCACCGAGTCATTCTTCATGTTTCTGTTCTTCCAAGTTTGCCGTACCTTGGTCTGCAAGCACGCAATAGAAGTAAGCATTAAAGCATTCAAGGTGTTAAGAGCTGGCTATGGATTGGTGATGCTTAGAAGCACTAAAAACTCAACATTAGTCAATGTAAGTAGTGTAAATATACGACCAACCCATCCTAGAATTTCTCAAGAGTGATGTAGAAGACCAAAGCGGATGGACCTGGAAAGGGACTAGCCAATCAGTCTCTTTGTTCTCCTTCTTCTCCACCGTCTCCTGTGCGCGAAGCTCCATAGATTCCCGCATCATGCGGCGTAAAAATCTTACATCATCGGACATGACCCCCAGCCCACGTAGAAGCACTGATCCCAGTTGCAGACTTGTCTGTAACCAACAGCCATCATGTTGTTTACTAAACGCCTCCGAGTTTGGACATGTGTTACTAAATTGTTTCATATCTAAGACAGTTTAAGATTCTTACTTTTGTGCATAGAATGTGCAGGATAGGCAGGAGTGAAATACTAAGCTTTCGTCCAAGTATGTCTAACTGCCGAAACAGGTTCGAAACAGCTAAAACTAGAGATAGAGAAATTTAGCAAACTGCAGAATATAGGTGTCTTGTAACAGGAAGCTGATGTCCTTTTCATCAAACATTGTCTCAATTACTTTTAATTTGAAGTTCAGAAGTATACCTCAGCATTTTCGAGTATGCAATCAGTTATCCCGGCATGTTTCAATTCCAAAAGATGTCCCAAATCTTGTGCTCTTGCGTAGATGGGCACCTGCATCCAAGGGTTACCAAGTTACTCCATTTTTTAGCAGTTTATGGGATAATTAGACTACTAAAATATGAGCAGCATTTTTGAGTTGAATTTAGGCCAAGAGACCTCATACTTGAGGAAAAGCTTGACGAAGACGTTCCACTGACTGAACTGACTTTTGTCGCCCTGTGTACATCACCATTACCGCCTTTGGCTGCGTAATTCCCGCTGTTTGTAAGACTAAAGGTCGAGAACCATCTCCATACAACACTGGAAAGCCAAGCTTACAGGCAGCCTGCACGATGAGAGGAGTTCAGTCTTCTGACGGCGTCCTACACTCACGTAACCATGACATAGAGAACAAAGTTGCGTGATAAAAGATTACCACCTCCACATTTGTGAAAAACGTTACATAATTTGACACCCTTGCTCGGTTCGCATGCAACGTCAACTCTTGTTTTCTTTAAGGTCTTAAAGATAGTCTACATGTCTGAAGAAGTATCATAGAAAATAGTCATACCTTCACTCGACCAGGATCCAGATCGAATGCAACATATGGCCAACCAGCTGCATCTCCACCAAGACCAGTCGCCAATGGGGTAGACAGAAAGTTGGCAAGTACCTGGAATGCACACAATAAAGTTGAGTGCACAGTTCAAACTGAGAACATACGTAGAGGCATGCATCCTTACGTAGTAGTGTCATCTTAGAAAATGGATCAGATGTGAATAGCTTTTGGGTTCGAAAAAGAACCGACACAAAAGCAGGACCCCCACCTGACCCATTTGACCGAATCCGATTATGACCACAGGTTCGTTGGCCTCGAAGTTCTTTACGCCTTGTAATTCCTACACCAAACGAGAAAGCACAGGTTATGATGAGTAGAACTTACAATGAATACATGTACCAGGGTACATTCACCAAATACTTTACATGGACAACTAAGAACTGAAAGGGTTACTTTGTATACATACTGAGTCCGTTGGAGAAACATCCTCAAACTCTCTCTCAATGTATTCTGCTGCCTTACGACCCACTTCATTCAAAAGCGGTGTCAAAGCCATTGACAGAACCACAACTATGATCAACAGCCTGTTCAACTCTAACGGTAAAACTCCCAGTCTGCAAAAGCCAACAAAACTTAGTCGCAAAATGCCATCTTGATTGATTCACTGGTAACACAATCAAGATACTTGGTATTTCAATGCTCGGCCACTTTGCACACCTTAAAAACACCAGAAGCGCCTTTCACTAAAGCTAATGCAGTTAAGCTAATCAGTTAAGCTAGTGCAGATCTGGTCATGGGGTCAAAAATATTGTAGACGAACACAAAAAGGGTTCCCATACCGGTTGGCGAGAGAAAATACGACAAACGCAAACTCCCCGCCTTGTGAGAGAAGCAAGCCTGTGCGAACACTCTCGGACAAGGTTAGCCCTACTCGTGGTCCAATTGCAGTAATGATAGCGGTCTTGATAGCAATAAGCCCAGCAAGAAGGGCCAATACATTGGGCCATTCTCGTGTCAATAACTGCACACCACAATGACTTGTTAATTACATGATATCGAGGCCCTGGCAATATTGATAGCCTATGTTTCGTAATAAACACAATTTCGATTAAACATGAAAGCTATTTTGTTTCATTTCCAGAGACTAACACTAAATCTTATGAAAGTATTCTCATTAATAATGTGCGGCGCTAAATAAAAACATCCTCCACTAGATCACACCTCAGCATTGGTTGATGTTTAGTAGATGAAGGAGAACTGCAAACCTGAATGTCGATTGATGTTCCGGTGGTCACAAAGAAAAGACCCAACAGAAGGCCACGAAATGGTCTTATGTCTGCTTCCACCTGAGTACGGTAGTTAGTCTCAGCAAGTAACGCTCCAGCTAGAAAAGCCCCAAGCTGCACAAACCATCCTCTTAATTAGCCCGATTTCGAAGTCAACAACCCTTAGTACAGCTCTTTGTGTAAACCAAAGAACTGTAGCATCATCCTCAGATTACTAACAACATAGTGAATTAGACCATTCAAAGTAGTAGCGGTAGTAGTATTAGTAATATTCAGAATAAGTATAAGAATATGATAATGATGAAAACGAAGTGGAACACTACGTTCGGCGTACCGTGGCTTCAGTCGGAAAACTATTAAGTATAATCTAGAAAACCAAACGAAAGGACTGATTTTATATAGACAGCATGATCACATGAACACCGAAACATACAAAAGAAAATAATCGCTATTAAATTACACTTGCGAGTTGGGAAGAGTTCAGAATACAAACCGTGTCACTAAAACCAAGTTTTTGTGTCAAAAGAGAAGTTCCCGTAACCGTCAACAAACACATTGCTACGAATGCCTCTGAGCTCCTTGAATTCGCCACAATCTGATTTCGATACAAGTTAGTGTAGACACAAACTGATCAGATGTTTCAGATCATGGTGCACTAATAGGTGAAGACAATTTACATTGTAGTATAGTTCAAAATGCTCCCAGTAGTCCACTAAAGAAATATTCAGATGAAATGAGGTTAGAAGTGGAGACACGTACTTCAAAAAGTCGACGAAGGAAAAGACGACCACCAAGAGATATGAGACCAAGTCCAAGCAAAGCTTTCAAACTTTCCGATGCCAAAACAGGCCAAAGATTGGAATCCGCAATATTCTGCAATACAGCGATACTACTCCTTCAGCCATGTAGACGTGTTGGTACAGGAATCAATGCTACTTCAAGTCTTTCCTTACCAAACTGCTTCTGAACGATCAATGAGATGGACTTCTGAAATCCACGGTAATTTGGTCTATGGCTGTGGTCTTTGACAACCAAACATAATCCTCAATGGCATAGAGAATCGTATAAATTCTAGACCGGCATAGACAACAAAAGCATGAACACTGCTCATGCAAATAGGGTTTGAAATTTGTTATACCCCAGTCTCCAAGATGGGAAGGATCACCAACAATGGCACTACAGCAATGTCCTGCCAACATAATCAAAACTAGTCAGAACTCACCAGTGAGAGCAATATGGAAAAAGCAAGATGATGTTCATTTGCATCTTGGATTGCTAGGTTGAGAAAGAAAAAAATTCACCTGTAGAAGCAGAATACCCAGAGTGGCAGAACCAAATCGTGTCGGTAGCTCCCCCTTCTCCGCTAGAAGCTGCGTGCATAAACGGTCTTGATTAATCCATTGATTCACATGATTTAAGCAGTGTCCGTGTATCTAATCGGTACCTATTCAAGTATTCGAACTATCTGATGACGAAAATCCAGAATTGCGGCTATCTGAGAAGGATTTTTCACTAAATCTTCACTACTCAGGACGAAGTAAGAAAACCAAGGAAAGTTCTCGCAAACCTGCAGCACGAAAGCTGATGAAGAGAGAGAAAGAGCGGCACCTATCACCACCGCTTCGTCTACTGTTCTAATATTCACCTGAAAATGAAACCGACACTTCAGTCACATGACGACAAATATCTACTGAGAAAGCCAGAGATGTGTGAGAAACTTTAGTTCTACATGGCAGAAAGAACTTTTTCCTCCCTCAGGTAAATTTTTTGATGTCGTGGATTCGTAGATCCATGAATTTTGATGTTATGAAAAGATGGATTCTGAAATGATATTACTTACAAGATCCGGCCTAGCGTGAAAGAGAAATTCAAGAATTTGAGTGCCAATTGCCTTATTAGGAGGAAGTTCAAAGGCTGTGAATGCCAATGTGGATAGCACAACCTGCAGGAAAAATTACAAGTTGGTGAAGGGGCTTCTCTTGATGCAGATCTTCTGAAGTAACTTCAAGTGGAACAGAGGACGTGCACACCGTCCTTTTAAATCAGCAATTAAATCCTACTTGTGTGAAGAATATACCTGGGCAAGTCCTATGCCAAAAGCAAATTTCGCCAGAGCTTTAAGACGCGCTAAAGAAAGCTCCAGTCCCATCTCAAACAGCTGCAAGAATGATCCAAATTTCAAGATCAAACGCGGTTTGAACAAATAGGAAAGTTAATTCTGAAAAACAAATCTCAGAGAGACAATCAAATTCTAGCTGAGAATGTTACATACCAGAAAAAGAATTCCAAGTTCAGCTAAAGCCTTGACATCTGTAACGCTTCGGATCAATTCCAGTTGATTCAATACAACACCCGCTAGTAGGAATCCCAAAATCTGGTGAAATCACATAACCAACTAGTCACTACACAACAGAATCCATAAAAGCGGTCAATCCGTAGAAGCAACTTGTGCCTGTAGCTCCTGCCCTGGAAAACGTACAAACCCAAAGGCATGGAGGTGAAGATCACGTACAGGACTTTGTTTGACAGCTTTGAATGCTGGAACAACCAACACAGTGGCCCCAAGAAATGTGAGAGTATCCAGTCCCAGGTTGTTGATTACATCTAAGCCTGAGGCTAATTCCGTCACTTGGGCCTTAACAACATGCAACTTACGTTGACGTAATCTACATGGATTGCTTTGTGGCCGCACTAATTTTCTCGAGTTTCCATCACCTAAGCTTGAAGAGCTGCGAAGCAACTGGTTTTTCATTTTTCGATTTCGGAGTTCCAAGGAGAGTGCTGGGATAGTTAAACTGTGCTGCAATAACGCGTTAATTACACCAGGTCGACGAAGCCGGGAACCAAGTGCATGGTTTGGCAAAGAAGTGACTCGTAAGCGGTATTGTGAATCCAGACCCTGGAAATTCCACATCCAAAACACTCCTGATGTTAAATACATGAAGACAACATATATTTAGTTACAGAATTTCAGATGACAAGTTTATCAAAGTATCTCTCACAACCAGTTACTTGGCTTGCTCTAAATCATTTAAGTATTCAATTCGGGTAACAAACCAACCCTATTTGATTACTCATCAAAGGTACATTGACCTGAAGGCAGTAAAGTGAATCAGTCACTACTTCCACTCATCTGTGCATGAGCATCCATTTTCATTATCCCTGTAAAGTCGTCAAAGTGGCTATGAATGTGAAAACATGTAAATCAGCTTGTCTACGAGACCATGGAAGAATCTTACCCGTGACGAGCTTGAGTGGATTCCGGCATAATTCACAGAGCTGTGTTCCATGCGAGGAACGCCTGCACTAGAACCCGAATATACAGCCATAGCTCTTCTTCACTTCGTCACATTAAAATATCTTCGAGAATCCAAATTGCACACAGCTCTATACTAACTTAGTTCTACTAAACATAATGTATGCCACGCACGAGGGTTTAACACCAGTGAGGTCCTCCTGGCAACTCCCGTTTGTCTTGATCAGCAAAATGCAATTTGAAAAGACAATGTCAATCTCAAAATCACTTCAGTCCACTGTATTAATCCTGTTTCTCACAACCCTTCACTATAAATCCTCTCTAATATCCAAAATCAAATGCCCTTGCACGGTTATCTGCTCGAAGTGCATTCAAAAATCCACAATCCGTGCCCGAAATAAAATATTTTATCCCTTCACCTTCGCAATTCCCTATCATATTTTCATCCAATAGCAGCTAGGAGAATCATTAAGATTCTGAATTTAGCACCTGCGAAGAATCAATCTGCACAAGAGTAAAGAAGGATACAGTTTGAATCCGAATAGAATGAATAAGAGCTTTCAAACAAAGAACCTGCATTCTTACATACATGTGCCAAATTTAGGGCAAACTCAGATTAAGATTACAATCATTGAATTGTCAACAATACCTTCACAAAAATTTATTCTACAGTGGATTCCAACGCAGAATTAACGTGAACTTTCCTAAAAATACAAAAAACAAAAAAATGATAGAATCGGTAAAACAAAATGTCAAGACAACTATTATAACAAATGAAAGAATTCAAAACTAATTTGCAAAAGCAGGAAACACCCCAACAACAACAACAACAAACATGAATTGAATTGAAAGATCTACTGGAAATTCAATGGAAATGAATGTTTCAGGAACATAGACTCAAAACACAAATCAAACAAAGTGACCCTGACGTAAAAAAACTAGGAGCAATCATCACCACCTGTGCTCCACATCCACTCGAAGGTGACTGCAATCAAAAATCAGCACACCCTCAAATGTCAACCATCCCGCATTCGCATCCCTGTTTCCACTCTTACCAATCTTCACTGCGTATGCAACCTGTTGTCACAACCATCAAACCTCCAAAACCCTCCAGACACGTCGGCGCCAACGCCCTACCCCCCGCCAATAAACCACGAGAGAACTCCTCGTACCAAGCGGGCCCGTATCATATTCCATATACAGTCCCTCTCTCTCTCTCTCTCGCTCCACGTCTCAGACTATTGAGCAGCCAATTAAGATCTCTCTCCTTCCTTGCTTCTTTCCTTCCTTCCTTCCCAAGCCCGCCGGACCAGTCCAGGTTCCAATCTTTGTGGAGTCGGCGAATCGAACAGACCAATTCGATTCCGGAGTCCTCATTCGGATGCGAAAGCAGGACCAGACGACGGACTAGCTCACAAGTCAAGACTGTCAGTGGATGGATAAGGCAAGCAAAAAGGGCGATTGATGTGAATACCCACGTGGCAAATTGAGATTCTGTAGATGTTTGGAGCCTCATGAGCCACAACCTCAACTCCCCCCCCCCCCCTCGCTCCCTTCCAAAAGTGACCTCTGGAGTTGGTCCCTGTCAAGCTCAACTGCATTGCGAACATATCTTGTTGCCCATCGTCAAAGGAATCTGTGAAAAGGAGGCTCGATCCATCCCCTGGCAATATCGAAAAGCGTACGATTGAGTTGCGATGAACTCATCTACACGGGGAGTGATTTAACGTCGGATCGCAGACCGCATTACTGTGATTGAAAGAGATGGATGGCTTGGTGACCAACTTCTTGCCAAGACTCGGGTTCGCGAGATCGTTGAGTTTCCATTGGAAGGGGATGGGTATCAATCAATATCTAATGAGATGAGATGAGAGGCCCCTCTTGTCAGCTTTGGATGAGGCCCGATGCAGGTATGAGCTTCAGTCCAGCTGGTCGTTGTCCACTGCTGAAGTAGAAAATGGACGTCCATGCATTGGGATAGAGAACTAATTGGACAATTAGCGTTCACAAGAATGATTATTAGATCGACGTGTTCCATGAGGTTTGGTATGGAGGTTGCCCTGCCTGCTACAATTGGATTGAGTGCTGTACATGGATATGTGAGTCATGGAAGTGACACTGCACGAGGTGAGAGTCCAAACAACTGCAAAACCATGCGTACAATTCGCAGTTGGAACCAGATGAATCAGGACACGACTGCCAGCATGCAGCACTTCAGATGACAGAACAAAGAGTACGAGACAGGTAACCTCGTCCGCACATGAAAGCAAGAGCAAGTACATCTCAACAGGAGGATCAGTGTTAGAACCTGTGAAACGGTGTACAAAGACATCATCCCTATACAATCTGCCAACCAATCAGCCCCGACAGATTTTGAAGACAATTGAGTGACAAAGTTACTTAGTACAAGAGCGTCCTGTGAAGATTACAGATACTAAGGGCTTCCTCAGCAGTCTGCCAGCAGCAACACTTGTCATGTTTTGAGCTGATGTCCCCATGAGAATCTTATCGCTCGATCAGTCAGGTAAAACCCCTTATCCTTCCGATATGCTAATGGGACTTCTTTCTCGAGTAAATGAGTCTGCTACAGGTCCTCTCTTCAATGTACCTTGTCAAAAGGGTAGTCCACAGCAATCATTTCAATGCTCCTGCCTACATGTACATGTGGTGTAGTAGCAAAAGCTGCTTCGTAGATCCCATCTTCCAGTCGTCCGAGTAGCAGCAGTCGTGAAGGATTTGGTGTCATGAAACTAATAATAGATATATACCGACTACTCTATTACAACAATCTTCTTGTGCTCTTCGTTGATTGGACGTTGTAGTATTTCAAATACCAGGTCACAAATTTCTTAAGACCAGTGTCCAAATTAGTTGTGGGCTTGTATGCAAGCTGCGCCTGCGCAAGAGACACGTTTGCATGTGTGAAAGGCACATCACCGTTCCTGGGCATCTTGATGAATTGCTTGACAGCTTTGACTTTCAAGTGCTTCTCAAGAAGCTCGACCAGGACTGGTACGGTAACAGGTGATGTGTTTCCGAGATTAAACAGGCGCAGCATTGCAGGGCCTTTCTTCTTACCTCCACTTCCAGTACTTTCACCTGCTGTATCAAGTGCTCCGACACAACCCTTTACAATATCATCTATGAAGGTGAAATCACGTGCTAAGTCCTTATCATGTGGACCCTGATAAATGTTAATTGGTTTTCCCTTCAGAATATCCCTGGTGAATGAAAAGTACGCCATATCTGGACGACCCCAAGGACCATATACAGTAAAAAAACGAAGTCCAGTTATGGAGAGCCCATATATATGATTATAGGTGTGAGCAATTTCCTCCCCCGCTTTCTTTGTAGCGGCATACAGACTTGCAGGTTGATCAGTTCGATCAGATTCCGAGAAAGGGACCTGCATATGAAATAGTATTTTAAAGCATTAAAACAAAAAGAGTAAAAATCTGCGATGGCACCTAGATAGTTATGAAGTACATAATTCTTACATTATCCTGAACCAGAATTGATTTCAAAAGGTCTTGCAACCTAAAAGCTGAACATGCTTACGAAGGAATCTCATCATGTGATTAAACTCAATCTACTTGGAGATCCTTGAATGAAAGAAACAGGGGATTAGTTTTACCTTGGTGTTCAAACCGTAAACTGAGCTTGACGACGCCCATACGACAGCAGGCTGAGGATTGGCATTCTTGCACGCCTCAAAGAGTGTAACTAGCCCAGCAACGTTGCTATGAACATATGACATTGGGTTCTGCATGGCATAACGCACACCAGCTTGAGCTGCCAGATGCATGACATGAGTGAATCGCACCATTTCAAACAGGTGACTCCATAGAGCAGCGTCATTGATGTCATCTTCAATCACAAAAATGCCCTGCTTGAGCAACATCTCTTGTCGTGCTCTTTTCAACGAAACCTCATAGTAATCATTAAAATTATCGATTCCCACTAGGCCATCCCCTCTTTTCTTTAGAGCCAGAGAGACGTGGCTCCCAACAAAGCCTGCCGCTCCCGTCACCAACACAACCAACCCATTTTCCCGTTTAGGAGTGCAAGACTGTCGCACTTTCTTGTCCCACAAATGATCACTCCTGTACGCCGAACGAATAGTTCCTCCGTTAGTAGAGCTATACGCTGTTCCACCGATGTATACATCCACAAAGCCATTCGCTGCAATCCGGAAACAAATAAAAATTGTTACAGCAAGTAGAAAAGCTGAAAAGACTAAGAGCCTTGCTGAAGCTGTAGAGTGCCATCGACTAGCTACCCTCCCGAAATAGCTACTGCGTTCCACTTTAACCTGCAAATTTCGACAAACAAGACACAGTAAGCACTTCGGCTTATCCACTAAGGACTAATATCTACCACGTAACATGATCCAACATAACTATAGAGATAATAACAAGATACTGCATGGTTAGCAAACTACACCTCACTGGCGTAAACAAACAGATAAGCGCATCGAGACTGGAAACTGCGACAATAAAACTGACCTTGCCAGGGGTAGATGGAAAACTGTCTTGTACCACAGAGGGAGGCATTATTTACTGATCAATTGATAACCTCTCTGATTTGAACTCCTCTTGGGAGATGATGCAAGTCCACTGCTAACCTCTGAGAATTACTTGAGAATTACTATTGTAACTCAGTAATTAAAGAGATGGCTGCAAAAGTCACCGAACAATGTCAAATCATGTGTTACTGTTGCAAAAACATCAATCACACTTAACCACTAGAGAGGAAAAACTAACGTGAATGCTCCAGACTACCTTATAAACATCAGCAAAAGTGAGCTCCCTCAAACGAATATTTCGGCAGATACATTCCTATACCTCCGCATCAGGTGACCTCAAGCATTACCTGAAAATTTTGATATGTACCATGCACATTGAACTTTCGGCTAAATTAAAACGCAATCACGAGAGGTGATGTTTAAGGCATCAACTAAAAGCGCTTCTGGATTTGACAACAGTGCAAAGTATATGAGGTTGTAAGAACTAGCTTCTTGTGCAAGCGAAAGAATGGAACAGAAGGATAAGTATCCACTTCTGAATTAGACTATCATGGATGCTACTGGTTCCAGTAGAGTACTAAGACGAGTCATCTCGAGAGCGTAGCTTATACGGGATATAGGGTTGGTCAACAGGACTGACGTAAGAGCATACCAATGCATATTAGAGTGATCATAGACTTAAGTAAGGCTAAAATACCTGAAAGAAGCCACGAGATAACACATATGACTACGTGACTAAGCCAATGTAAAACTGTGTGCACGTGAATATAAAACTTCGTTACAACCGAAAGAAACTGGTGTATACCTACATTGTAACGACATGTTTCAACTAGATCGTCTCCAATATCGTACGATCAGAGTTAGGAAACATCGAAAACATGTAACACTCGGAAACGTTTCACCTACTCCAACCAAGTGTGACCCGAATGCACCACGATCAGAAGCGATAGTGGACAATATCTTCATTCTTGCATCAAATACGCAAACACGACCACAGACAACCGTGCATGCCGAAGCCACCTCACAAATACAAAGCTACATCTCCGGAATAACACGACGTATCACAGACTCCCTGACAAGCTCAAATATCAAAACCCCATCCATAGCCAACGCGCACTTCGCTCACAACAACAACCACAACAACAGCACTCCACAATGTAAACAACTAGATCTGTCGGAAAATGCAGAACCATACTCGGGCCAACATCCACTAATCCAAGCCCACCCGAGGGGAAGTGCAGGCAGAAGTCCTACAAACAGCAGTCCGCTAACAGGCAATAGCATTCGCCGAGCTCCGAGAAAGTCCAATCCACTCCCCGTTCTACAGGCCTCTCTCCGCTACGCCAAACCTAACAACTAACAACTAACAACTGCCAGAGGTAATGCCTACAAGCTCCGAGAAAGCGCACGACACTATCACCGCAGCAACTACAAAACCGACCGGGTCGCAACAACGTCAAGCTCAATACGAAGCCAGCGTGACAAGCAATGACCAGCCCCGCACATCTCTCGGACAAAACGGCGGCGACGATAGTGAGGTGAGAGATTAAACAATTCAGGTGCGCGAGCTCACAGTTGAGCGACAATGACTCCGCGGTGTGTGTCGACAGAGAAAAGGGAAGAAGGTACAGAGGGTCGGAGGCTTCTGCACTCGTGGGAAAAAGGAAAAAGAAACAAAACAAAACAAAATATTTCTTGCCCACCTGCCCGCCTGCCCGCTCGAAACATCACTCTGAACAAGACCATTATTATCTCACCAACTTCTCTGCCACGTAATCAGGCACAACAATAATATGATTCCTAAGTTTCGTTTCGGGGCTGGCAGTGTCAGGTCACTATGGACTTCGCGAAGCTTCCTAGATGCTGCTACGCACATGCCGATTCCGATATGGAATTGGTACAGGGTTTCTCATCTGACTGTGCTCTCTCGTTTTAATCCTGCTGCTATTTGTGTGTATCCTCTATTTTCAACCAGCAAATGCTAAGTTAGCGTGTCGATCTCGAGTCATGTGTCAAGTTACGCAACCATGTATTTTATATGTACCTATGGCTTACATAAGAATCGTAAAATGATTACATCTTTTTATTTGTTTTGATTTCTTTACTATACATATATATATATATATATATTTCTTTTCTTTTCTTTCCTTCTTGCACATATGTTAAATAGACCCAGGTTTTTACTAAATTGATTTACCCATGACAAAAAATATGATAATCATGATGAATGTGGTTAATTTTTATTTGTTTCAGATCCAATAAGGGAGAAATGAATTTAGAGGTAATTTTTTTTTTATTTATTTATTCATGATGGTTAGGATGGGTGGATCTATTTAGTACAGGCCTAGGTCTATTTAACATTCCCTTATATATATATATATATATATATATATAATCAATTTTATGAACATTTAAAATTTTGAATAAATACGAGTGAATAAATGTTTCCAGCATTTTTTTATTATTATTGATCTTAGGGGAAAAACTAAATAAATAATAAAAATAATAATAATAACATTTGTTGAGGACTTATTAAGAAATTTTTTTATATAAAAACTTACTTTTTATATCAAAATATTTTTTATGATTTATTTCAAGTATACTCATCCAAGATGTATATTGTATTTCAAATCTTAATTTCTCATACACTACACTTACAATGTTTATAAATCGCATACAAGCACTCACAAACAAATCTTTCACACAAACTAGACGCATATCTATGTTGCCTTCTGAAAAAATAACGGGATGGGAGTATCTCGCAGTGCATAAGTGGTATGCTTATACCCTCAAAAGCACTAAGAAGCTAAGGCCACCCTGTCCTTTGTCTAGTGGGATAAAAATTAGCCTATTGTGTAGATTTCCCACAGAGAAAATAATCAACACATGGTTGTAGAAATGCTTTTATCAATACGTCTCAATTGCTACTCTATTTTCAAAGTTTGAAACTATTTCATTGCCTTGCTTCACTAACTTATTTCAGTACCATGCTTTAAGATTGTAAGAGGCGACCAGCATAATTGAGGGTCACTATGCCAAATATCAGCAGGGGGTAGAGAAAACCAAATGACACGAGTCCATGAAAGAATTTATTTGAAAGGCTGGAATGGAAGAACAAAGTCGAGAATTATTCAGAATACATGTGATTGAAAATCCATGGTATTAGAATTTGAACATTTTCTGAAAGGGTAAGTGATCATACTAGTTTGGTAAACACAAGACTCTCTGTGCAGTAGATAATTTTCTAATGGTTGACCTTCTCAAAGACGCTAATAGCACCATCTACACCTGAGCAATAGATTTGTTTGGTCTTGGCATTCCACTTCATATCAGTGCACGGTCCTGCCGGAGGAAGGGGCGTGAGGGGAGACAGCACAGAGTTCACGCCACCAGGACCAGAGAGTTCCAAACAATACAAGCCCTGCCTAGTTGTCACTGCAACAGCTTCTTGCTTAGGGCTAACTGCCATCTGAACCACAGGCTTCGAGTCTGGAATGACTTGAAGCACGGGCGTTCCCGTGTTCCTGATATCCCAAAGGAAGATTGCTGAATCAACGCTGGCCGTGCTCACTGTATTAACGTCCAACATGTTAAGTCCTGTGATGGCTTTCAAGCTCGGGTGAGAGAGTTGCCTCGCTGGGGCAGAGGGCTTTGTCTTCAAATCCCAAAGTTTAACGGATCCATCACTAGCACCTGTGAAATTGCAGCGCGTGTAAGAATCCGCGTAGGCAGGTGAACCTCAAGCAGCAGACATAAAAGTTAAACAAAGAATCTACTGAACAGAATGACGAAGAGAAGCTCACTAACCCGTGATTAGTGCAGGTGCAAAAGAACTGCGATGGAGGCTTGAGATCGGTGTATCGTGGGCTTTCCAGTGAGCTTTAGGGGCGACTGCAGTTGTTGGAGCTGTTGCAGCTGCTGAAAGATCGTAGACCATAACATCTCCATTGAGAGCTGCTGCAACTGAGGTTTTTAGCGCTGGTGTAACAACACCGAGCGGTTGTAATGATACCACGTGTAGTAATTTGAGCCCAGTGGGAGCCTGCTTTCGTAAACCTAATATGCCAGTATCGGGAATTCGAATTGAGCCCTGCAAAGCAAATTCAAATGGGTATCTTTTGCACCAGGATAGTATTGTAGACAGGACTCACCACTGCCACTGAAGTGTACAAGATTAGGTTTGAGCAAGCCATTGCAAATTGCAAGCATTAAACAGTTTCATTGCGTCCTCATTTGAGATTGTGGGGGAGGACTAAGCCCAAATCATTTGCTTTAATCATGCCGCTAAACATGTGGGTAAGACTGCGTAATGTTTCAAATACGTTACAGCATCTCAGTGTGGATAGTATTCTTTCTACATGCGGATAATTATTTGAATCCAATAAAGACAAGAAAAAGAGGGCAAAAGCAAGTAAAGTTGAAGTCTAATTAATCATATGAAGGAACATAAACATTCTGTTTTTAAGATCTCGATACGAGCAGTCATCAACGACTTACCTTGAATTTAAAAAATGATTCTCCTGCAAGGCTGTGAAGAGCAATTACAAAGCCAGAATCACGGGGATGGGGAGACAAGGATAAAAGCATTTTCGCATTAGTATCAATGTCCATTGATTCCATCGTAAATTCAGTCGTTTGCGAGTGCATGACCTGCCAGTTCAAACCAGATGTAAGAATAAGTTCCGGAGCACGGGCATGCCGACAACCACTGAACTGCCACTCAAATTTATAATGACATGATCAGTGACTACCCAACAACTAAGCTAAACTTTAGTTCAATAATACCACAATGTAAATAATCCGGTCGTATGCAAAAGGCACAAAGGAAAACAACAGTGGTAATACAATCAAAGGTACACCAATACCTGAAGAGCAGGTTCTGAAGCCTTAGAATAGCCACAGCATTCCCAAAGGTTAAGAAGTCTCTTTGAGGAGCTGATAAGCCAGCCAGTATGCACCTCTTCACCCACTAACCCGTCCAACTCAGACGCATACAACATAACATTTACAGCGTCACGGTTGTGTTCTGTTACAGCTGTGGTCCAACGCCCCTTCCATGAACTTGCTGCTTCTGTCACCCGGCGAACCCCAGGAGTTCGAGGCTGACCTGCTGGTGTCTTGTTGGGAGTCTGCTTAAAAATGCGATGTAAACATGTTCAAGCTGTGGAGACACTGAACCCAAAAGGTCTTGTAATGATGACGACAATAATAAAAGGAATGACACTTGGCAAAAAGCTGAAAATCAAGCTGCACTTTATGGAGACCAAAAAGCTGTGGAAGAGCACTCAACGGTGGATACAAATACGGTACAGGTACTTTCAAGTGATGTGCTCAACATTTACCTAAATGACAGGATCCTACAACAAATAATGATAACAGAAAGAATTGTACTGCATCTGTAAGCCATAATGCTCACCATGGATCCCAAGTGTGACACCTAACAAAGCCTACTGCATACAAAAGGTGAACCAAGTAGTACCTCTGGCCGAGATTGATTGCCTGATTGCTGTCTGGTGAAGGGTCCAATTGGTCCTTGATGGTGCGCTCCAGACGTAGGGGTCCGACTTCCTTGAGGTGTTCCGGGTGTACCAGGTCTTCCTTGTGAAAAAGGAGTCCCAATCGGAGGTTGCTGGTTTGTCCCAGAAGTTGGGGTCCGGTTACCCTGAGGTGTACCAGGAGTACTAGGTCTTCCTTGTCCAAAACTAGAGCTCCCCACAACACTTTGCTGGGTTTGAAATGCACCATTTCTTACTGAATCGTTCTGTCGGTCCAATCCAAGGCCAGGATCAGATATCCCAGACACGGGATAGGATCCTTGCAGAGAATTTTTTCCACCATTGATTCCCACAGTCTGCAATCAAACCGACATATGTGCAATTGGTCGTGATATACTCCATGACAAAAAAAGAAAAAAGAAAAAGGTTAAAACAATCTTTAACTTCTCAACATACCACACTGATTCTTAACCAGACTAACAGGTAATACACTAAACTCTACTTAGATCCTAAGCTATTATCCCGTCATCAACAACTGCAATAAACAGCACATAGACCAAGACTTTCGTAAAAGAAAGAGATAGTTACTGTTCTCCAAAATGCTGTCGACTTTGTAAGCCACAGTCCACGTGGAAAGAACTCTACTCAAATTTAACAGTAAACCGATACCAATAAGATAGAATCCTATGTTAAACCATTGCACAACTCAAGCAATAAGGATCGCTAGAAAAAGTTTTGAAATTAATATAAAAATCGCCAAATCCGTGAATTCAAGACGATGCTGAAGCTGGGCGTAAAACTGAAATAACCCAAAGTCGTGCCCACTGAAAGTTTGGAGAAAGGAAAGCAAAACTCATATGCCCCTGATGCCAATAAGTGAAAGAGAACCAACCTGACCAGTAGACACACGAACTGGAGGAAGCCCAGCTTGGCCGAGGCTAAGAGATCCAATATCTAGACTCCGTGAGGTGAGATCACCCGACCCAAGCTCTCCCGATCGAAATCCAAGCTGTCCAAAGTGTGATTGTAACCCTGGTAATGGTCCCTGCATGGAAATTGCGCTCGGGCGACCGATCGGCCCAGGTCGGGAAGTCCCAAGAGGTGGACCGATGGGAGGAATTGTCAGAATTGACGACGATGAAGAAAAAGAGGAAGGTGTGGAGCCATTGTCGTTGTACCTAGTGCTTTCCGTAGAGAATGTACCTACAGGACCAAGACCTAAACCTGAGCCCAAGTCTAAGCCTAAACGTTGCTGGAGGGCAGCCACAGATGGAGTGATCACTGTCACGGGTGAGATTGACGATTGCCTACTCGGAGCTGAGATTCTCGCGGTAAGAAAATCCGGAATCGATGAGGGCGGGTGCGAGGGGAACTTGGGTAACGTGTTAGTATGGGTGTTGACATGAACCAGAACCTTCTGAAGCACATTGATGGTTTGTGTGAGCTCACTCTTGTCCAGCTCGATGACTGCCTTGTTTCTGCCCCGCTGCGCCTGCTCAGGAATCTGCGTATATCCCATTTTAATAACCTAAAGAGCTCTCGGTACCAGATCAATGACAATACAAAAAGGCTACTGAACAGGTTTTGACAACTATGCTAAAAATCAATGCTTAAAAATCTCAAGCAGCTAGCCAGTCAAGCAGTGACTTGGCTCTTGGAGGTATTTTATCTTGGGGACCCTCGATAACATCCTCCATTGATCGAATTAGATTGATCAAAATTGAACTAGCTTCCTGCAATTTGCAATCATTCCCACTGTGAGAGACATGACGAACACGGAGTGTACTAAAAATACAACGAGGTCATGCATCACACCAACACATTACTGTAAGCAGATTCATTGGAGATTCTATATCAACTTCAACCTATCTCTCTGTATTAACATTGACCAGAACTGCAAGAACAAACACGACGCTGTCCACACTCAAATACAAACAATCGAAAACAGATCAAATTCTTGCCCCCTTCCAACACATCGTCATCCCCGCTCTTCTGCGCTAACTGCCTGCCTCTTGGACAACAAAACCCTAACGCGAACTCTCTAGTGCCCAATACTATGGGCAAGCAGCGAATGAATGTTCACTACGTTATTCTAGGTGATAGGGTTCCCGCCCAAAGCGGCAAACCTCAACAACAAATCCCTCCAACAATCCCAATCACCTCAATCGAGGTCGCCAAAACGTCCCAATTCTTTTCTGAAATCGCAATAACGACTCTAAACAACACTCGTAACGTCAAAATCACACCACTTTAGGGACCGCACAGGCTCTCCCTTCCCCCAATCATGATCTCAAATGAACCTAATAATAGCAGACTCCATACTACAGAGTTCAGAGCCTCCTCCATCGTTGGAGCTGGCTATTAATCCCTACCAAAACCTCATGTCCTGCAAAATGAAGACGCACCTTGAAGAATAAACGAAACGCTGCTCAAAGGAATACGTTGGAAATATTAAAACGAACACAAGTGGAGCTCCAATTCTTCCCACTCAGGCAGGCGTAGACCTAACAGCGAGGGGGTAGATCAAAGTGCGCTTATGAGAAGAGCACAGAATGCACAGAATGCAAACGACCAAGTACAAGCGGAGGGAGCAGTCCGAGCTTCAAAAAGCAAGGCAAAGGATGACGAAGCGGTCAATTCCCACGTCAGTTTCTTAAAAACCAAAATTAGGGGTCCGAATAAAAGCCGCCTGTGGTCAAAGCTCAATACTAAGAGGACGAAAGATATTCGTTACTCGCCTCGACAATTCATCCGCTAGGGTTTTGTGCCTGGTTATGAGAGCGACGACTCCGCAGCTTAAGCTCTCTCCTATTGTAGATTTCCATCTCTCCATCACCTCTCGATCGCCACCATGTCGAAGCGCGGTACGCTCGTCCCCCTCTCTCTTCTCGTATGTTTGATGGAAGGTTAATATAGTTGAATGGAACTTGCTTAGGTGTAGACGCGCTTTCGAAGTGTCTCATTTGGAAATGAATTTGGAGTAATTGAGTTCGGAATGACGTAGCTTCATTGGAGGCATGAAGCAAGAGAGATGTTGTTGTCCTGTGATTGGTGGCAGTCTTTTATAGCGACTTTTGTATGGGGGTTCTTATGAATCTACGTAGAGTACTCTGGATCTCTCTGGGATTGAATTTGCGATGATCTGAGCGGTGTTTGAACTCGTATCTGATTTCCGCCCGTGGCATCAGCTAGAATGCGTGAGATATGTTTGCAAATATATATAGATGTATTTGAGCTCTTCTACTTTGTTTTAGGTTTTGTGTGCAAGCTTTGACGGTAATGGTCATTGATTCTAGGGAGGGGTGGTTCCTCCGGGAACAAGTTTCGAATGTCGCTGGGTCTGCCAGTGGGGGCAGTCGTCAACTGTGCTGATAACACAGGCGCCAAGAACCTCTATGTCATCTCCGTGAAGGGAGTGAAGGGGCGCCTGAATAGGCTCCCAGCTGCGGCTGTAGGAGATATGGTCATGGCTACTGTCAAGAAAGGAAAGCCTGATTTGCGAAAGAAGGTTATGCCTGCTGTAATTGTTCGTCAGCGCAAGCCCTGGAGGCGCAAAGACGGCGTCTTCATGTACTTTGAAGGTTCGCCATCAACGTTGACTCCCATTCTTAAGCCTCAGAGGATGTGTTGAATATGTTTTGTTCATCTTTAGGGATATGTGTATGGCGTCTGGTTTTCATCCTTTAAAATGTTCATGAATCACTAAAATTTGATTCGTCTACCTGTAGGCTTACATTTGGTTCTTGAATTTGGAATATGTGTTACTTGATGTAAGGACACGGTTCTTAGGCTATGAACCGCCCAGTCTGTGGAGTCACATTCACTTTTAAACATATAGCTTGTTTGCTATTTGACCCAGTTTAGTCTTAGTTTACATGTTTTCTGCATATCGTGCCCTTCTATTTCCGTAACTTCATCCATCATTCTGAGGTTTGTTGAAGTTTGTGTGCCTTACCTTTACTGCCTTGCATGTTGTGCAGATAATGCGGGAGTTATTGTAAATCCCAAGGGTGAAATGAAAGGTTCCGCCATTACGGGACCTATTGGAAAGGAATGTGCGGATTTATGGCCAAGAATTGCTAGCGCTGCTAATGCGATTGTTTGATTACCTCATCCTGGACTCCTTTATTCAAGACATGTACACGTCTTTTGTATTAAAAACACGGGGTGTTCCTGTCGAGAACATGTCTGATCATCCTGGTATTTTGGGCTTCGTATTTTAGGATGTGTATGGATGCCCTTGATATAATCTCTGACACTGTCCTTCCTGGCCTTCATTCTTTTTGTGTACATCTCGTCTACTGTCGTGTATCAAGGTTTAGTTCGTACTCGCACTCTTTCCTTAACTAAGCTCGTTTGATTTGTGTCAACAATCTGGTACAGTTGTAGCGCCTATTGTTTCCCATCCTTGTAGTTGATCTGTAGTATTCTACACATTAAAACTTATGGTATCATCTCCTCTGAATAGTTTGGTTCAAAAGTCTTACCATTTGATTTGTACTTTAAATGAGACTGTTCGGGATGAAGATGGCAATTGCATCCTTAATTAAAACTGTGTACTTGTAACCACATTGAGGTTTATAATGATAGTTTAGGGTTGAATGTTATGTATCGGAAGAATGTCCCAGTGTTCAGCTTGCTCGACCTCACCAGTGAGAGCATTTCAGCTTCGTGTTTGCGTAGGGAATGCCCCAGGTGGTTCACCGCATCCAGGATTTTAGACGGTAATTCTGCTAAAAATTCTCCTCAAGCTCCTAGTGCACTGACAATTCTATTTCCACGTAAGGCTTCTTCGTGTTTCTTAAAATATCCACGCTCGTCGGGAATAATACCGCAGTCTCCAGTTGGCGACTGAAGGCGAAACCTGCAAAGTTTCAGGATTTTTCAAAGAGCTCTGTAACAATGAGAATTGGGATGCTGAGGGATCATTTGTGTTTGTTTGTAGCTCTTATTTGCGTCGGTGATAACCTTGCAAGAGTAGAGGTTGGACAACTGCACATGCAGCAGGCAAGTGGTTTAAGATGAAGCTTTCATGTTAGAAGAGATGTCTCTTTGCTTTGAAATCATTTGATGACAGGTGCGGATTGTAGCATGCTACAGAATGTGATTCTCGTTTATTTACCAGGAATTAGATTTACGTTGCGATTTATTGTATTTCGGAACTTCAACAATCTTTTCAGGAATGCAACTATCACTGCAACATCTCTCTCAGAAAATAAACATCATATTAAGTCTCAGGCTGATTTAGAATCAACTTGCTGGAATGTAAACTACGTTGATTCTCTTCCAATTAGGCAGAGACCCTTTCGCACCTATAACATGTCACTGCGGCTTTACATGATAATTACATGCAAATTGATGAGCATTCATTGAAATCTTCCTCTAGTGAAATGCAGTAACCTTCCAACATCCCTCGTAAATTAGGTGTGACTGACAACATCCAGAAACAACCTCAACTCATCTCACAAAAAGATGATGTTCAAATAATTCGCAGTGCATTTTTCAGCGGACAATGGATTGTTATTAGACCGAGCACCACTTATATCAGGAAGCTCTCACAACATTCTCCCTCAACAAGAAGGCGACCATCAGTCAGTGAACCGTGAAATCTCACAACGTCGTTACAAAACTTCTCATTCATCTTCTTCTTCTTCTTCAGCTCCTCTTTTCTCATCTAAACCCACTCATGTTTGGTTGAAATGCCTGCTGGTTGGTATGCATTCTTCAGGTGTTTGTCAGGTTCGGCCTCATTCACAGCTGATTGAGTTAGCTGCTTCCGTCCATTGCAGGTTCTGCAGCAACACTAAGTCGCATTAGGGTTGAAATGGGTACACTGGAAGTTGAATGAGAGCCATCGACCGTGATGGGACTTGAAGGCGAGTTAAAGAGGAGATTTCGATAGGCTGTAGATGTCTCCAAATCCACGTAATTAATTTGCCTAGGTGGCATTTTCCAGCTCAGCGATATGGGTCTCTTGATTCATGAGTTTGAAGACGACAAGCAGCAATTGTCACTTTGAGAGCCTTGTCAAGAGATTGCAGGAGAGCGATGTTGAAGAATTGTAAGTAATTTAGCTTCAATGGCGTGCTCTGTCCTCCAGTTACACTCCGTGCTGTGCATTCAGCTGCAGAAACCATCGACGTTGCGAGAGAGTGTTGCTTCCAGGGGATTCGGTTTACGATGCAGCGCAGAATTTGGTCGGAATTGGCCGGATTCTGGCAAGCGTTCGAAATACCGTACTGGTTTGCAGCTCACGAAAAGGTGGGTTTTCGATTCGCACATCTCCTATCTGGCTTGAGAAATGTTGCAAATTGGGACATGCAATTTGAATTATCCTTCACATCCACTTGAAGGATATTTGATTTTACGACACGCCACAGCAGTTGGGTCTACGCACACTAAAGATCAATAGTTATTTCATTTCTCGACAGCGTTGCATCACTGCTAGATGCTTCTATCGAGTTCATACCTGAATTTTGTTCCAGTGCTTGAGGAAACTAATTGTTGGTAGTGATATAGTAGTCCTTAACTTGATTCAGCAACGATTTGTTTGGCTTTCTTTAACTTTGTAAGCAAGGACATAGTTGAAGAGGATGCAGTTACGTTGGCTTTGGGCAGGACTTGGACTTTTTGTCGAAGATTCATGTATAGGGTTAAGATTAGGGCTGCAATCAATTGATTATCCGATTGGATATTTGTCAATGAATGGGACAATGTAGGGATATGGAAGTGGGCAGAAAAACGTGGGGATGTAGACGTCTTTGCCGTATCACAAGTTGTCCATCTATTGAATGGCGTGGGGTGTTCACATGTTGTCCACAAATTTTGTTCGTCCCTGCACTGTAATATGTGAAGAATTCTTAGGAAGCAATGCTTAAGAACTGAAGAATAGTCATTGATATATTTGATGAAACAGGAGGGTTGCGAGGTCCATTGTAGCTCTCCGGAGTTCCGATGAGGGTAGCGAAAATGGAGTTCTACAGGTTGCTAAAGACAAGGAAGTGAGCGATTTAGCTCCCAAATCCAGCAGCGGTGGCAGTAGTTTCTTGACGATTCTCTGCCCCTTGCTCAAATTCCTTGGGGTAAGCTCTGGGTTTTATGCTAGGAATGCGTTTTAGAACCCAAGAAGTAATCTTAAACGACGTCAAAGTTGACACTTAACAAGTAATATCTTGTATCAAGTCAGTCAAGCCCATCCGTTTCCCCTTGCTTGAAGCCCTTCGAAACACGGGGCATTGGTGAAGGCCAATTTTGCTAGTCACTTGCAATTTTCCGTCATTTGATACCCTACTTGAAGAGATTAGCTCAGGAAGGTCCTTACCTGGGCGCTTTTAAGGAGTTCAAGATTCACTAACTTAATCATCAATATTACATTTATAATTTGATAGTTGAGGTTGCCAGTGGATGGTCATCTTGTGAAGCCTTTCATTTTACTATACTTGACTCAGATGTTCATGACTGTAGGGTGGGGATCCCTCTGCACCACGAAACACCTTTCTTGAGGTGCTCAATACGCCATTGAACCTTCAGTAAGTTAGGAATGTGTAAGTTGAGAGCGTCTGAAATTCTTACGAGATCACGTGCTTATAACTTTTTAGTCACATCCTTACTCTCTTGTATGAGTTTCTAGTCTTGTATCGTCTGTATGAATGATCTCCTTCGGCTTTCCTTTATTTCAAGGACATAGTAAACTGGAAAACTTGTTCAGGTTCAGATTCATTTTCAGTTCTCTTAATCTCCGTAAATTTGGTGAAATCTACTGGTAACTGTTCCTGTAAACAACTGGCCGTGTTTATTAGACAGCAACTACAGGAGTAGCGAGTATGGCAAGGTTACCATGGGGTTCGCAGGTTATTCCAGAGGCTGCAGCAGCACGCACTGCATCTGGGCAACCCCCTAAGCGCCTACAGCTTTATGAATTTGGTAAAACTTTAACGATTACAAATAACTTATAACAGTGATTCTCCACATCCGCTTCATAAAAAAATTCTCTATCTCATTTGATTGCTGCCGTTATGCTAGGGTTGAAGAATAATAATCTGAAAATGGGTTGCATGTAGCCGTAGACAACATGTGCGCTTATTCTTTAAGTCAATAATGCAAAGCGTTCACCCAACTGATGTTTGTACGTTTTCTGCAGAGGCGTGCCCATTTTGTCGCCGTGTGAGAGAAGCTCTCACTGAGCTTGACCTGACTGTAGAGGTATTTCAGAATTTTTTTCTGACATCAGTACACCCATTCTTTAAATGCGAACAAAGTTTAAGTTATTTGTATTTTTCTTTAATTCCGATTTGAAATTATAATTGAGCATTAATGTGAACCTCTTGGTGCAGGTCTTTCCCTGTCCTAAAGGGTCCCTGAGGCATAGGGAGTTCGTGCGTGCCACAGGCGGCAAAGATCAGTGCGTCAAACTTCTTAATTCTGTTCTTGATACTTATTATTTCATAATCTCATCTCTACTTATTTGATTTCAAATCTTTTATTTTTGTGCAGGTTTCCTTTCTTCTTGGATCCAAATACTGGAGTTTCTCTTTACGAGAGCTGTGAGCTTTCAACTTTTACTTGATGTCGTTGCTTTTTGCACCTTTGTAGAGGCACTTGTCACGCATTGTTTCATATTTGGGTTACATAATTTTGTCCGATGTACTGCAGCGGACATAGTACAGTATCTCTTCAACGAATATGGAGCAGGTGGACAGCCAACACCTGGACTACTAGAAAGGTGATACTTTTTTACTCAAGTCTTATTTCTTCCATATCTGCTGATCTAACACCATGTCATCTTGATTACTTCCATCCCTTGTTGAGGATTTAATTATTTACCTCTTTCTATACAGCACGCTTGTGACGGGGTGGGTGCCAACGTTAGTCAGAGCTGGTCGAGGAATGCAACTCTTTCATCGGGCGTCAGCGCAGCCTCCTGCAAAGATGCTCGAGCTTTACTCGTACGAAAATAATCAGGTATGTGACCCTCAATGGTGTCATGGCTAATTTAACACCAACAAGATTTGTTTTTTTGTAAAATGTTCTGAAATTTCCAGTCCAAGGGTGTAGCCGTGCACAACTACATAAAGTGATGAAGGAGTTCAAGGGTCAGAGTTAGTAAGAGCTTTAAAATTTTCGATGGTCTCATAACCAACATGTATTTCTTGAGGAATGGAAAATAGTTTTTACACTTGGATTCGAATTGGATAGGCTGGATTCCTTATTTCATGTGTAACTTATTCTCCTCAAAATTGTGGCTGCTAAAATCACACCATTTTTGTGGTGATTGACTAGTTTGCACGCCTAGTCCGGGAAGCTCTCTGCGAATTGGAGCTGCCTTATATCCTCCGAAATGCAGGAAAGGGTTCTTCAGAACGGCCTGCTCTGCTTCAATTGGCAGGTTCCACTCAAGTAGGTTACATGCCCACCACTTTCTGTCTTTTCATTGTACGCTTCAATTCTTGATAAGCTCCTAGTTCCTCTTTGATTTTCACAGGGATTGTGTTGTTCACTTTCTAATTAAGCTTACTATAGATTGTGTGACGGTTTGGATCCTTTCGCAGGTACCTTATTTGGTGGACCCAAACACAGGCATTAGCATGCCAGAATCCAAAGACATTATTGCTTATCTCTTCAAAACTTATGGATCGGACAGCTCAGAATTAGTTTCAGCATGATGGTGTACGAAAAACATTCTGATCTCTTGTCCATCATTGTATTTATTCATTCTAGTTGACTAATTCCAATTGGTGCCTTCATGCTTGAAAGGATAGCTTATGCACCACCACAGAAACTCAGATTTGGGTACTTCATTACACGCTTTACAATTTGAATTGCTGTTGGTCTCAATAGTTGATTCTACGAGCAGAGGATTTTGCCTTGCAGCTGGCTTTTGTCAATTTACAAGCTTTATTGTGAGGAGTGCCGCCGACTTATGAACTCAGTTTGCAATACAATCATTTTCTATTCATGGTTTTAGGTTTCAGGCAGGTAATGGCCTTCTTCAGTATCTGCGAACAAGATTTGGTGCGCACTCTTTCGGTGTTTGTAAAGCCCTGCGCATTCTGAGTTCGTTTGAACTTGGTAGCGCTCGTCAGTCACCCAAGTGGAGATGTAAGGAGATGTGAGGCGCCAGGCATATGCCTGAGGAGACGTGTAGAGGCTCTGCCCACTCGCGGTGTCATGGGTTCATGCGAGCTCATGGCTTTTGCATCGAACGCACCACAAGATACTTGTTTGCTTGGTATTGTAGTGAGAAATATGCAGCTACATCAGTGGGTATGAACGCCCATGAAGACTACTATAACTTCTAGTTGCAATCACATATCTGAAGACATCAATGACGGGGTAACCTGATACTCATGGGTTCTAGGTCGCCAGCTTGCTGTCACTGCAGCTCAATTGTTTGCCCTCATGGTCTCTCCGGGATTTCAGATTCTTTCCAATTCGATTTCGTGCGACTTTCCTCGGTTTTCTACTTGGTTGTTCACATATAGTCTTGTTCATGTAAGCGCCTGAGATAGAAGGTAGTGGACGTGATGCGTCCTGTTTGGTTTTTTTCTTTCTTCCTTTTTCCGACACAAATTGTAAGAACTTCTATTGCAGGAACGAGGAAGTGGACAGATTTGCAGATCTCTGGTCACTGCTAAAGATAGAGATAGAAAGGACTAAAGTTAGAGCGTTAATACCAGTTGTGTAGTTGCTTTGAGGTGGATTAAGTGTTGATGCAAAGAGATGCCGCTAGGAAAAAGAAAGAGATTTTCTCTCACATATTCTAAAACTTTTTGCATATTTTAAGTATGTTAATATTTTTTACTTTGTATCAATCTTTTTTGAATAAATCTCATATGTTTCTTTCATAATCTAGTAGTTTTAGCTAGATTTTGTACCAAAGTTTTTCTTAAAGATTGTAGTTAGATTTTTAAAGCCTTTTTGTTTATCTAAAAACAAAGACTAGTAAAAAAGTTAATTTTTTTGGTCTTTGATGGTAAAATGTCATATTTTTAAAGCTTGAAGAGTTGTAATTGGAGATTTTGAGATATTAAAGGACTATGATTAAAATTTCTAAGATAATTAAAATTTAAAATATAATACAACGGTTAATTTTTTAATACCATTATACAATTTGGGTTTATTAAATTTATTGTAGGTATCTACAACTTAAATTATTTGATTGTATTTTATATTCATAATCATTGTCTATTATTTAAAATAGCTTGGATATAAGACAAAGAGATGAAGAAGGCTTCTTGTTAGTTGTGAAGAAAAAAAAGCAAAAAACACAAGGAACACAAGATTGTTGGAGCATGGGAATATGTAGACTAGAAGAGATTGCTCTCATTGCCTGTGAAAAAGAGAACATGGGATTGTGGAGAAAGTGGAAACTCCAAAAATGTAGGAATGCGGAAGCATGGAAATGCTCAGTGGTTGGAACCTTAAAAATTTCTTTTGTATGATTCATCATAGAACGCAACCAATTCTATGCTTAGGAAATATTAGTGGACATAATTATAATTTCATTAAATTAAAATTTTATAGCATTTTTTTACCCAATGCCATGAGTTTTTGCTCTCTATAATTTATCTAGTCATAAATAAATTAGATTTTTTTCTTTTTAAAAAATTCTTTATTTCTATTAATTTTAAATATTAAATTATTAGATAAAGTATTTATTTTCTAGAAACCCAATCTAATTTATTTCCACCAAATGGTATAATAAGGCATATTATTTTTAATCTACCTAAACATATTTATATTTTAAGATAAATAATCTATTTCATTAAAGAATTAATTTTTTACGGTTAGTTTTTTAAAAAATTCTAAAAGTGATAATATAAAATTTATATTAATATTTACAAAGAATCCTATTTTTTTTCTTATTGAATGTAGAATAATCAAGATAAATGACCTCATATATAATAATAAATAGAAGAGTTCTTTTATAATTACAATATGCCACTAATTTTTACCACGTTTTTTATTTTCTAAAAATAGTTATCTATTAAATATATGATATCTTGCTAAAAACTTCTTACAATTCTTTTTTATAATAATTTAAACTCTAAATTTATTTGGTAGTAAGTCAAATTATATTGTAGCCAATTTAATTAAGCAAGTGAGGAAATGTTTTAAAGACTACCTTCTTTAAGACCACTTCAAATTTCTTACAAATTAGAAAGAAGCCTTGATCATTATAATTCCAAGCTTGTTTCCAAATGTTTGACTATTACTTTGTCTTTGACAAATGAAAAAAAAAAAAAAAAAAAAAAAAAAAAAAAATCCCTGCAAATATAAAATCCATCATCATAGAAAATAGCCTATTTGACATGTTTATTAAGATGTGATAGGTATTGTGCTATAATAAGATATAAGACAAATATATTGCTATTTATCCTAATACTAAAACATTGGTGGTACAAGTTGTATAAAAATACCTACAAAAGATATTGCTAACTCACAGAGAGAAATTTATGGGAGCTTAGATCAAGTATGCTCTTCATTTAGGCCACATTATAATATCTTACATTGAAAAATGGTATGCAACAATGAAAGCATGGATGAATATCTTAATAAGAGATCTTTTTGTTGTCTATGGAAAACAAGAACATGCAAACTTTCAACATAAACATGCTATCATCCATGAAATTTTGAGATAAAAATCATACATCTTCATAAAATACAAAATAAATACTTTTGAGATAATGTACTAATAAGAGTGTCTCAATTTGCATTGAATGGTTACAAATCTTTATTTGTTATGTATTTTCAATTAGATTGTAAGATTTTAACCATCAAAATGCTTTAAGAAGTATTCAAGAAATACCATAAATCTTAATAATTTGATAATATGAATTTTTATACAAACATGTTAATAAAAACGTTCAACATATCTTATGTGCATACATTTAAAAAATTGATAGAGAGAAGCAAAGCTTGAAATAATGGACTTTTACCAACATTAGTAGCTATACATATCCATTCTTAATATCTCTAATTCCATCAAACAAAACAATTAAAAATAACAAATTTAGACCTAAGAGAGCTTTTGAGTGGAAGTGCAAAAAAAGACATAAGAACTTGCTCCATCATTAGCAAGTTAATATGAAGCAAGTAGTTGATCTATTAGATTTTAATGTTGTGAGTAGAATCTTTGATGTGATACAAATTTGTGCTCTTTGACAACTATCCAAAAGATCAATGTGTAAAGATCCTTTTAGATTCAAATTGGTGACAAGGAGAATAATCCAAAGTACAAAAAGTGTAGAAGTTGTAACCAAATTTGTACTCAAAATGTCCATATGTGTCTTGTTTATAGAGCCTCTCTAGTAAGTATGCAACATGCAATAGATGATATTGGTGTACAAAATCCAACACCAACAAATGATATTAGCAATAACACTTAGAAATGGGGGCAATTTAAGTAGGAATAACAAATTTAGTGGATGAGATTATATTTAAGAAGAAGAAAAATATTTTCTACACTTTTATGCATATAAATTGTCAATATTGTGGAGTGATGTCTTCTTAACATAGGGATAATGTTTTGCTACTAGTGTCCCTTTTATATTTAATAAAGAAAGACAGAGTTCTATATAAATAAAAATAATTATGTTGTTTGATCTTGTATTAGCAATAATTATGGGTAGATATTGTGGTGGTTCAAATGCAACAAATTACAAAATAACGAGATATTAATAACTTATTTGATAGAAGTTAAACAAAATCAACAAATCATAAATTACCAAAAGTAAACCACAAATTATAATGGAAATAAAAAAATTGAAGATGATTTAAAATTAGATAGGACAATGTTCTTATGGTTTTTTATTTATTAGATCCGAGTGTCTTGGATCTCTGTAGTGCATTTGATGTTACGGATGAAGTATTCTTGTCACCATTGTTATTGTACATATAGGCTGCATCGCATTTTGTGTCAAAACAGTTTTAATAAAAATAGTGGAGCTCCTTGCACTATGGATCGCACTGTGCATCCTGGTTAACACAAGTGGATTGTACATTTTATTTAGGTTCTAGTTGAGGACATCGTAGAAGCTGCTCAGGATTGTGAATTAGTCGACCTAAAGGTGGTTCATTACTTACAATTGATGCACATCACTCATACATGTGCTCAGGCAGAATTAATAAGATAAGGCTTGCATTATACAGGACTGTTTATATCATTGATACTTATCAGAATGAACAGAAGAAAGGTCGCTGGAAACTGTTTGCGAACCGGACTAGGCCCAGGCTTCATTGATCCCCTGCGCTATCTGATGACATCCACTGTATTGACAAGAAGCAGCTGCCTAAATAATTGAAATTGGGCTCATCGATAGACGTATTCAGAATCTCAACTACGATCTTAAAACCTCGTCAAATCGTCTGTTGTAATGAACAGAATACTTGCCGTCATGAACGTCGCTATGTACATGCGTCCCAATACGCTTAGCTGCATCTGCAGGGTAGCGGGGAAAAGACAGTCGCGACTGCTGAAGTGGACATAGAGTGGTGCATTCGTCTGCAGTACTCAGAATTCTTGGGACAGTGTGTAGCCCGAGTGTTTGAACTCTTTGCGTCGCATTGCTACTGACCATATGCAGAGAAGTGATGATTTAAATTTCCTCGTAAATTCTCTGCTTTCAAGCAATACCGAGCCTGATCTGTTGGAAGTTCCAATGGAACACCGAAAATCTGAATCCTCGGTATAGAAGCCTTCTGTGATATCTGCTACTTCACTTCACAGACTTCAAACTTAGCCTCATTAAATTTGAGGTCAGATCCTTGGCAACCTCTTCAATGATGCCTTCTAGCAGCGTGCGTTCAATGTCAAGGCCTATGTCAGCCACCTCTTCGCTGAAATCAACCCACCGGCCTTCAGGCACGTTCATATCATAGTCTATCAAATCGTCCAACACATTGCCAGCAATATCTTTCCAGTGACAGATCATTCTGTAGACTTCCTTCACCAGCAGCTCGCCTGAAATTGGTGATCGGAATTTAGATTTAGAGTGCATGTCGGGGAACATGGGTAGATCAACATAAAATGTAGAGGTTTTCATCCACGGCTCAACCGCCATGACCTCGTTTATAGAATCAAAGAGAAGCTTCCGCTCCGATCTTAAACCAGATCCCGGTCTCGGTGCATCCGGAAGGGTGCCCCACCGCTTGGACTCCATCAATATGCGTTCGTCCAGCTTGATACTTCCAAACTCCAGTCTGTCGAACAAGGATCGGTTCATTGGAGAATCAGCGGAGAACCATCTGCATTCCTCTCTGAGCAAATTAGCAGCATCCAAAACCTCTCTGACGTAGTTTAGCTCCTGCTGTGGATTTACTGGATCGATAGAGGGTGATTCTAATCCAATGCTTTTCACGTCAATGTTACGAAATCTGGAGATATCCAGAATCGCTTGCTTGATCTTCTCCGTCTCTACCATCTCCAACGAGGCCATCTCCGCAACTTTTGAAAGTGGGACATTTTCCTTAAATTTCTGGTTTTGTTCTTCATCATCGTCCGTATTCCGCGACCCTGTGTTTCATGCAAGAGAAACCAGGTACTAAATCAAATAATCTTAAACCCACTGCAATAGAGGAGACAATGGACGTTCTAAAGCAGCAGTGAGATTGACTGAACAACTGAGACCAACTTCCTCCAATGCCTATCTTGTCACCGACTGCGATTTGGTATTGATAGTAAAGAAAGTTAGATAAATTTGGCTCGCATTAAAATATCTAGTGAGTAGCGATTACACACACAATTCATCTGTCTGCATGACTCCAACAAAGTTGATGTTAGGACGCGAACTAACCAGAAAGGCTTGTAACGGCCAACGGACTCTCGTCAAGAAACGGATTCTCAAGAACAGACACAGGACTGGGTTGCCCACATTCTTCAACCCTCGAAACATCTGAGCGCAAGAAGCATTGTCCCTTCATCTCAAACTTCTTCAAAGCAGGGGGCGTCACCATGACATCCTCACTCCACCCAGTATTCACTGGAATATTTTGGATCTACACATGCACATCATGGATTCGTCATTACTTGAAGGAAAATATCAAGATATAGAAGGAAATTATTCAGTCATGCTCAAGCATCTCGTAACTGTACTGACCAACACGTCTGAGTGGGTTAGAGATAGCAGACTCATCAGTCTCGACTTTGAATCATCCCCTTTCCATTAACTATAGAAACGCTTGAAGGAAGAATCGAAGAATAGCAAGAAAACTCTCAAAATTTGGAAGAACTCACCTCGAGATGCTCGGGCGTGCCTCTCGTATCGCCATCAATACTATTGCTACAAACATCCAGCTTGGTCTCAGCTTCTTCATCATTTGACGGAGCTAAACTACTGTCCCTAGCCTCCGACAAACAGAAACTTCGTCGTCTACATGTCAATTCATGTGGGCGGTCCCCGGAAACAACTTCAAACATATCCTGATGGTTCCGTGAAGAGAAGAAAATCTTCTCATACTTGGCCATGGGACTATTTGGAAATGTCCCTGGGACTGGTCCGCATTCAGTAACAAAGACTTCGGGACTTACGGGACTTGTCACACAAGCAAAATCAGGGCTTGTAGATACAACAGGCATTAAAGCCCTTGTAAAGCTTTTTTCCAAGCCTCGCTCGACAGATAGGCAGTCTGACTGGTCACCTGGTGGTTCGAATCCCGGAAACTGATCCTCCACTGGTTGGATGGTCATTGCTAGGTCTGACGCCTCCCCATTTACCTCATTATCGTCCATCGGAAGCACAGGATATACATCATCAATTGATCTGAATTTGGCTTGCGGAAAAGAACTATCGAGATGTATCTGAGGTAGCGACAATATCGGTTCTGATGAAATCTTATGCAGCGAAGAATGTTGACTAGCCACCACTAGTGCAGTTTCCACCTTCTTCACACCCTCTTCAATATAAACCTTCTTGGTAGGCTTTGTATTCTTCTTGACATTACCATGAGAGCCAGGTTTGGCGGACGACACAGGAGATGGACCAGACACACTACTTGGCCTCCTCAACAAAGATCGCATCAAAGTGCTGTCTGTCCTCTTCATTACGAGAGCTTCCCCTTTGTCATTCCCTTCCTTGTCACCTCGCTTTCTACCGCTGAAGAGCATGCTGTAGCTAAAACCGGCACCTGTCGACTTGTCTTTCTTCGGTAATGAGGGTGACACGGACCTCTCTATCGGATGCTTATCAGAGGGAAAAACACGATTCCCTTGGCCGCCAACGTCCTTCTCCTGCTTCAAACTTCTGGTGCGAAAACGGATAGAACGAAAGCCACCACCAGACACAGACTTCTCTGGAGTGACCTTGTGCATGGATGGTGATGATCCTCGGTTGAGGTCGGCTTTGAAATCCGCCTTGATATCAGCTTTGGCATCAACATTTCCAACACGAGTGCAAGGAGTTGGTAATTCCACATCTACATCAGTGAGCTCACCCCGAGGTGGAGTAAAAGGAACCTTAGCATGAAATTGCGCCTCGGATTCTGCAGAGAAAGCATCAGACTCCTGTTTCTCCCTCTTCTTGTCCACACGGGACTCCCCTTGATCAATTTTCTCCAGATCAGTTTGGAACCCATGGGTTGCAGTCTCGCGAGAACCCAACATATGTCGGGGAGAACTTTCCACCCGTTTCAAATTTGAGACTTTGGTTCTATGGGTCTGCTGGGGGGACGTCGACTTAGCTGAAGCCACCAATCCCATCTCAAAACGCCTCCGACTAGCTTGGTCTTGTTTACATGATTCGTGGCGGCTTTTGGAACTCCGACTTCCAGAAGAGGCCACTTCTGCACCTGTGTGACCGCACTGCTCAGCCTTCTCACTCCTTGACAAATACTGGCTCCTCATCGACCTACCGGAGGAATTTGTCAGCCTACCACCTCGACCAGGACAGGATGTCAAGGCTCTCTTCTCAGACGACAAGCTTACGCCACTCTCACTTTGAGTGTCCCTGTGTGAATCTCTTGCCAAACAATATCTGCTCCTTGGGGAGGGTTGCATGCTGCTCACTGCGGCCTCCAATAGCCTCATCGTATTCTTACCTCCAAGCATTGCAGGGGACAGAATAGGTGTAGAATTGGAGCTGTGAGACTTTGAAGGTAGAATGGGAGAAGTACCTGTCTGCAGACGAGAAAGAAAGGGTTGCTTCACCAGGACCTTGGTGTCTTCCTGTGTAGATGAAATTTTTTTCTCTCCAGGTCGTGACGATCTCGGGGTTCTGGAGTCGCTATAAGGATGTACGTGCTCTACGTAATGACCTGACGATTTCTTCCTTTGAGATGCGGAAACTCGCGCGGGTTTCGAAGCTTGTGGCTTCTTCAGCAACCCTGGAAGTTTATCTTTCTGCGAATTTTTGGAGTGTTGAAACTCTTGGCGTAGAAGCTCTTGAAGTACCAGGGGTGAAGAATCTAATTGGTCACAAGCCAAACTGTTTTGGAGATACTGTGACTCAGATTTTGGTAACGGATGCGGCCCATCAGGCAGGGATTCAAGACCCATAAGACGAGCTATCACCCCAGGGACGCGTTTGCCGGTATCGTCCGACTTGACGGAAGCTGGACTTGGAAGAGAGCTTACTGTTGGCGTGGTTTTCAACGTTGGAGAAGCTTCATCTTTATCCTTATCGATCTACATGTGGAAGATTGTAATGCCTTCATAAAAAGACTGGAATAAAAAACCACGGATAATAGCTAATACTCAACATTACTACTAGAACATAATTCTTGCTAGTAATTGTACAGGTCGCGTACTTGTTATGAAACCCTGCGACATGTCCCCGCAACTGAGGCTGTCCATAGCGTAACGAAATAAGCGAGAAAGACACTTTCAAATTTCGTGGATCGACACGCTTACCAGTAATGGCTTCGAGATTGTGGGATTAGTGCGTTCAGCAAAGCTTCTATCTCCCCCAGCATAAAGTGATCCCGAGTTCGGCCTTTCTGTTTACACTCACTCAAGTAACCCTTGTTACTTTCAAGGTCTTCGAAATCCAAACATCATCGCACAAAACACATTCTGCAATGATCCGATGCACACAACCACCGAATTCCTGAAATTTCACTCCACAGCAACAACTTGCGATTCTATGTATGTCTTCACAACGAAGACTCTATGTAATCTTTTAAAATTTGAGAATCTTGTAAACGACCTCAAACACGAGTAATACTAAAGAATTAAAATGCAGCTACTCAGCGATGACTGAGTTGCGCAGAGAAATGAAATGAAGAAAAATTTGGACACTGTGAGCTATGAGTCGAAATCTCAGTCCGGAACATTTCCAGGCTCAAAACACATGTTCTATCCTCACCAAGCATTTCGCCGGGGCCGTCTACATAGGAGCCAACATTGACAACTATAGACATGATCATTTACTTCTCGCCACTCCCTCCATTTTCTGCTGCTCTTGAAAATTGGGTATACCTACTACCTAGACTTGGATGCCCGTTACTGTGCGGATTTAAAGGGAACCAACAAATAAAACTTTGGGTGTATTTAAAAAAAAACTACCAATCCGTATGATTAAGATACCAAGACTTTATCAAAGTGGACCGATCCTGAACGCACTCCTCCCAAAGAGTTGAAAAAGTAGACTTCCACAACCTAAACATCTTCGGTAACATTCTGGATCAAAACCAGTAATTTCAATGACAGTTGCCAGACTGCTCCCGTACACGGCGAGACAGGTGATGTTGATCGTGCACGAGAACCATCATCATTTGGCGAGGCTGGACGCAAACGAGACACCACATTTCATGACCTAGTATTGACACCAAATCGCTAATATTAGCTGTGGCGATCGAATGTTTATTGAAAACTTGATATGAATAGCGTCAACGGTCTGTTTGGTTGCAGCATGCCCATCATTTAATGCAAGCAGCTGACAATGCGTTCCGATACCCTAGCTGTTTACCGCATTCTCACTGGTGTAGATGCTAATATTAGTCACTTTTGAAGACATGTACAAACAAGGAAAGATTTTGAAGGAAATATTACATAAATTTATCCCAGAGTATCACAGTCGACCAGGGTGTCCGTGTGCACTAAGTTCATATGGACGGTCTTTTGATATGGCTCTTCAGCAAGGAACAGACCCCAAGTTTCTGCGTGAGCAGGCAAGAATAAAGTGCCTTCCTCATAGATAAATTTCCAGGACCTCAGTAAAGCTCCTCGAAGACTTCCAACACATACAATTCCGTTGAATGCCAGGGTGTGTTTCCGGGATACAAAGCATTTATCTGTAATGCAGTAGAAAGGAAGACTGATAGTCCCTCCAAACAGTATCTGTCAAGCTCCAAAGCCGAATAACTAGTGCTCGGAGGTGCAGCTAGGCCAAGACTTAGTATTAGCAGGACATACCTGCAGTGATTCGCTTGGTGGAGGAGAAGCGCTTGCTGGAGCTCCAGTCGAACAGATTGAAGAAAGCGCCCACGCAAGCTCCCACTCGAGGAGACTGCGCACCTGCGTGCTGAAAGGATGGCGTCCGCCTGTGGACCTCTGTGAGTTCATCCATCACCCTCATGCAGCCCCGCAGCGCAACGACGCCTTGCCAGTTGAATGCCAGTCCAATCGACTTGCTGGGGAGGATTAACCACCCCAGATTCCCTCGACACCAGACTAATCAATTTTTTTGAAGCTAACTGGTGGTTGTAATTTGCACCCCTTCTTATAGACAACTTAATGTAATTCCTTTGGGTTGTTTTCCTGAGGAAGATGATGACCCCGGCTTTGTTGCCTAGAGCCCTAACGATTTTGGGGAAGGTGAGGGCTTCGGTAAGAAACTTGCACAATTCAAAGGTTGGTTAGAGGGTGAAGACAAAAAAGCTGGTCGTGTGAGCACCACGCCACTACGGCAGTGTTATGTAGCTCATTTAATGTGTGTAGGAGATGCAGTACGGTGTGCATTTGACGCACCATGGCAGCACAGAACAGCGGACCAAACTGCCAATACCGCTGCAGAAAAAGCATTCCCAGTGTCGTTGGGTATAGTCCTCACAACTTCTGGGTTTGGGAGGAAATATGTTGGAAGACAAAAAAAATCTCCGTTGTCGAAGAAGCAAACTAGGATAAAAAAGATCTCCGTTGTCGAACAATCTGTACTAATTTGCGTAAGAATATGTAGAGAAGTGGTAGGTAAATTAGGCAATCGATTGGTCACTATGCAGTACAGTGAAAATGACCAAGAACCGCAAGAGAACTAAAGGCCTCCAAATTTGACACACAAGACAATACTGAGCTACTAACGACTATGGCTACACAGAAGATGGTCTAAACTTAATTTACACTCTCTAGACACATTTAATCCTCGGCAGTTGGACACCTACACCCCGCGTAAGTGAAGTTCGCTCTAACGCTTCACGGAACTCCAATGCGTCCCCAAGAGATAAGCAGCCAAATTTCACTAACACTAAAATTCTGAACGAGCTGGCAGTTAGTCGAAAGTGGCCTACAAATAAAGCGGTTCGAAACTACGAAAGGCCATAAAATTCCTCAACTCAGATGGCACAATGCGCACTAGTCTTTACAGCCTCATTGAGCTCTAAGTCTTCAGCGCTAAAGCTTCTTGAGCGCACGCTGGACAACGAATCCTCGAGAGCAACAAACACAGCAAACAAGTGGAGGAGACTGAAGAAAAGCCTAGGTAGCACTCCACAGCTAGTAAAATAACATATAACAGGCATCTAGTCGTCATAACCAGCAAAAACCAATCGTTGCAGGCTTCGGAAGGTCGCTCAAAGAGTTTCCCACACCCTAGCGCAAACTACTTCAAATGGCCACTCCAGTCAACTCTAACTCGGCACATATATCCTCCTCAAAGCAGTGACTAAAACAAGAAATTAAAGGAATCGCCAAGCAGCTCTGCAAAATATCTGCACACTGCTACTCTGCATACGTCGCAACGCACAGCTCCATGAGGGAGACTGTACAGATAGTGAAAGGAGGTGGTTCAACAAGCGATGGTCTCCAACACTGGAATATCGTGAAAGAGGAAGATTATTAGTAGAGAAATAAATCACAGCAGCTGCGAGTGGAGCTCGAATTTCTGCTAATTATTGATCAACAACACACACTGATTCTACCGCATTAGATCCCCTATCGCAGAAAAGCTCCCTGGTTCGGAGTACAATGGCGGACACGACGACTGCCGCAGTGAAGAGGGAGAGGCAGTTTGAACGAATCGACAACGGAATCACGGGCGGACTGGCTGGCGGGATCGCAGGGTCCCCTGGCCCGGCCCGGCCTCAAGCGGCTCCACGTTCCCCTGTCTCGTTCCTGACTCGTTCTGGCGGGAACTTGCGCGAGGAGGAGCCACTCCCGAGGCGGGGCAGGAAATTCATATTTTAAAAAAAAGAAGGACTGGCAAATGCCAAGCAATCGGACAAAACTAATAAACTCTTAATTATTTATTTATTAAAATAAAATCAGGCTGTATCATGGATTTTCAGAATACTATGCTTCGTTAGCAATCCAAATAGAAGTGAATGAGCCGTGTGTGTGTAAATATATATATATATATATATATATGTGTGTGTATATATGTGTTTTTAGGGAATTGTTAAATAGACCCAAATATTTACTAATCAACCCACACATCATCTTTGGTTGCAGATTCAACCATTTTTTCAAAGGTTTTCAACCGATACAGATCCAACAGTGGAGAATGTTTTGAGAATGATTAGGATGGGTGGGTTGATTTAGTAAATGCTTGAATCAATTTAACAATTCCCTTTATATATTAATATATATATATATATATATATATCAAAATACTGAAGACTTGAAAAAATCAAAATCGTAATAAAGAGGAGAGGAAGTCTTGGGCAATGGCAAAGAGTGTATTAGTCAACTGTTCCCATTCAAGTCGTTTACTAAGGGGGAACCAAATTCCAAAATATTGAAAATAGCTATACAATCATCTGTTTTGGGTAAAATTTTGACATGAAACTTTATTTTTAAAATGATAATTCATAGTGCACATGTTAACATTATTTCTATCATAGACCAAAATTCTCAACTTTATTATAAACCACAAAATCACATTTTGATTCAGTAAGTAAAAACTAAAACAAAAAATAAATAAATAATATTAATTGTTATAAATATGTGTTGCACATTTTGGTTCAATAAGCAAAATAAATATATATATATATATATAGATATATAGTTCTAAATATGTGGAACATTTAGACACGGAAATTTTTGATATTAAAGAAAATAGATAGAGACGAAGTACAACAGTTAAAACAAAAAGAGTTTAGAAGACTTGATGCTATGATGCTAAGTTCCAATTTTATCACTGCTGACTATGAAGTATTAAAATTTCAAACAGCTGGCAGTGCACATATTGACAATCATTTTAACAAGTACAAAATAATGAAGGAAAAAGCATAACTGTTAATTATGAAAACGTCAAGAATACCGTATACCATGTCATTATTTATTATTTTTATTATTATTTTCAAATGTAATAGCTTTGAGTGAAAATGCCAGTGTGTTCTCTTAACACATTTCCTTTGAAATTTGATATAATGAAACTAATATGTTCAAGCATTGTACACCAATATATCAAAGAAGAAGAAAATGTTTCATAAATTCCCAACCGTGTAATATGTAAACATTCAAGTAAAACAAATTTATCACAGAAAAATAAATACTATTAAGAACCAAGGATATATTGGTCATTTTGTTGCTTATTACATGTTAACTGAATCAGGCTACATTCTCAAGATGTAGAAAATGGAATCTCTTAACTTTTGATTTTTGATGTAGTTGATTCGTATTTAGTTTAAGAAATTCTTTAGATTAAAAATAAAAGAAGTACATGTATGTATGAATATATAGAAAGAGAAAGGTAAGAAAGTATGTAGAATTCTGTCATTGACCATGAGATGATAAATTTGAAGAATTAATTAACTTATTGATATAATAATGGCAAAGAAATACTATGATCTAACATCGGTGTAATTGAATATGTTAGAATGTGAGTTTTGTAAGCCATTTTCTACAATTTAAAATTATTTGTATTTCAAAAGGAAGAATAAATTTAAATTCGTAATAAACATGGAAGTGATATTTCTATTTTAAAAAAATTTAGACTTTTACGTTCAAATTAAAAAAAATTAAAAAAGTGCATTAACATGATGGAAGTATTCTTCATACCTGTAGTGTAAAGACTATGTATTCAGTGACAAAGCCATTATAACTTTAATTATTTTTGTAACACCAATTATATGTTTTACAATTGTGGAATCATGTTGCAACATATTCATCCTTTTCATGGATTTTGTATTAAATTCATAATTAGTACATAGTGTGTTAGTAATTGTAATTTGTATTAATTTTACCACATAAAACATACTAAATTCTTAACTAACAACATTTAACTAGCATTGAACATTACTTTATCGGTGTATGATGTTGAAAATTCCTTGTCATTTAGAAGTCATAATATTTTCTGTTCAAAATACACCATATTTATACTTCAGAGAGTATGAAGAACTCTCACTATATAAATATATATAATCCATAACACATGCTCATCAAATTTTGGAATAAAAATTGCATAATTCATTTCTGTTCTTAAATATTGTTATTCTTACTTGAAAAACTAAATCTAAATGTTTATGAAGAAATTGTGCCACAAGTTAGGGTTTTTTTTTCACCGTTGAAAAACTGAATGTGTATATATATATATATATATATATATATATAGATGAATGAGTGGAATGATTAGTAACTGAAATAACTGGTTTATACATTGCAGAAACAATCAAAGTTTTTGACTATTATATTAACAAGCTTAGATTATAACATTGAGTTTGTTACACTTTTTTTCTCAAATATTTCAAACTTATATTGAATAATATAAATCATGTAGAAAGCAACAACCTCAAACATCGTGCTAATGCTTGTATTCTGTATTTGGCTTTTAAGCATTAATTTATGAACCAAATATATACAAGATTAAAAATACTTTACAAAAAAACAGAAACATACATATTTTTTCGTTTTACTTATTACCAAAAACAAAAAATGCATTGGTACTATTCATGCAAATTAATCATTAAAAAAAATTTAATGCTGTAAAAAACACAACAATACAATGATTTGAAAACAACGTTGAGTTCCTTTCTACATTGAGACTCAAAATTTTAAAAAGATATATAAACCAATTAATATACAGTTTATGTTTGCTTCCTTCGAATTTTAATTATTGTTAATAACGATTAGGGCAAATAACACCCACAATTTTCGTTCAACTCCCTCCCCCCCCCTTCTGCAGACCGTTTTCTGAAACCCTAATTTTGGGAGAGGGAGATTTTATTTATGTAAGACTTGGAAGCTGCTGTCAGAATGGAGGACCATCTGCCCATGAGCTTGCCCCTCTCTCCCTCTCAGATAAATCAATAAACACATACACTTATATACATACGTACATACACATATACACACACACTCTCACACACAGATATATATATATATATATATATATAATTAAATGTCAGTGTAAAAGTGAAACCCCGAGAAGACGAGTGGCTGCTAAATAGTTTTTATGATGTTTTATTTGTTTTGTCCGTTGGGCAATGGTGATGAATGAATTGGAAGAAAATCTCCACCACTACCCACCAGACATATTAATTCGACTTGTTTGAATGCATCCTGCATTTCTCTGACATTCACCCAAACCCATTGTCTCTTGCTCATGTCGTATAGATAAAATAAAATAATAAACAAAGAGAAGGGACGTAGACCCAGGGACAGATACCTTAAGTGAGTTTAATGGGCATGAGTGTGTTTCTCCGTTTTGATATTCTCAAATGAATTTGGGTGAAACTTTCGGTTGTTGGATAAGATGATGATGTTGGCTGAACGAAAGTTTCAGTTTGATTGATTTGTTTGTTTTATAGTTGTTTTGTTTGTTTTTCTTCTAACTAGTGAATTTCATAAAGCAGAGAATTCGTAATTAAAAAATTCAGTTGTATTTCATTTAATTTCATTATTAATAAAAAAATGATTTAATATTTTCACTTATATTTGTGATGGTGTAGATATATATATATACACACACACACATGGAGATACATAATTTCCTAACTAAATTTAGAGGCTTTTTTCTATTCACAAGCCCACTTTGAAAGGCCATTGTTTAAAGCTTTACAAAGGACCCCTATTTGGTGAAGAGGATTTCTCCTTCAAAGGCCTTGGTTAACAGAGATGATAAAATATTTTAACAAAATAATTAAAATTATGAACAATCACAACTATTTTAAATTAAAATAATTAATTTTTTATATTTAGACACCACAAACATAGATTAGATAATTCTGAAAATAGAATACATAGACAATTCAATTTTGAATGAAGAAGAATAAGATATATATATATATATATATATATATATATATATATATATATACATACATGATCTTTTTACATCTTTGATGAGATGAAAAAAACATTTTAATGTGTCATTTGTTTGTCAAGGAGAAACACATGGAAACATAGAAAACTAGATGGGATAGGGGAGGCAAATTTAGCATGTGTAGAAAGCAGTGATGTAAGGTACCCTCACTTTCCTTTTTAATACAAATGGTGTGTTGCGGATCCATCTAATGACAAGCAAGAGCCCTTTTTTGAGAATAAGCTACCAACTCCCTTTACACAATTTGTCTTTTGCAATTCATGCCTCATGTTTTAGGGTTGCAACCGGCACTTGTGCATTTTTGTATTATTTCTGTTGACCTTTATAGAGTTGAGGATTAACTTACTTTGTGAATAATGGAAATGGCAGAGTTAGAAACTTAGTGTACAAATCAAACCCTCACTCTGTTATTTAACCATGTCCTGTCACATATTTTCACAAAGAACTTCAAAAACAGTACAACTTTGGAATTTGTGTAATGGGTAAATTGTAACATTTAATGAAATGTGTATTTTTGCCCATGAAAGCATTCTATTTTATTATATTGCTTTGCAGTGAAATAAGCAATAAAGTATGGTTGTTTTGTTTACTAAAGAAGTTCATTTTCTTCAGATTTTCAGATTTACTACTCGTTTTAAAAAAATAAAAATAATTTTTTTTATTTTAACAGTGATTTTCAAAAGACAGAATAGTAAATCTGAAAATGTTATTTT